ACTAGGTCTGTATGTTGCAGTTTTGAGAAAAATATTAAAATGTTGCCCTTTCAAATAATAACCATGCTTTTAAGGTGACGTTCTATCAAAAAGTATACATTTCAGATCAGTTTGAGATCACATAATAGAGTATGAATTGTACATCTTGGAGAAATTTTCAATTTTATTACCATGTTAAAACCTCTCTGACTTCAGACCCCGCTAAGTTGGACTTAATGATAATACAGAGAGAGGCATGGCCTACAGTTTATCTTTTTATGATTCATATTGTCTCTAAGTGAGTTTATCCTATGAATTAGATCATGGAGAACATTTCCCTGCTGCTTAAAGCTTAAAGGAATAAACCACTTTTAAGTACCAGAATGTTATTTTGTCAGCTTTCAATTACCCCCGTGTGATTCTGTTTTAGCAACTGTGAAGTTTATAATACATTGCTGATAATCGGGAGGCTGTGCATTAGCTCTCCAGGAGTTATTTATCCCCTAGTTCCAAGTTGGTGCCCTAGACAACATCACCCCAGTTACTGTCACCCGGCCTCTGCTAAGCACTGTTGAACTCTATTTTTATGAGTTTGGCTTTTTAAGATGCCACATATAAGTGAGATCATGCAGTATTTGTCTTCCTATGTCTGTCTGACTTATCTCACTAACATAATGCTCTCTAGACACATCCATGTTGTTGCAAATGGCAGCATTTCTTTCTTTTTCATGGCTGAATAATATTCCATTGTATATATGCACCACACCTTCTTTATCCATTCCTCAGTGGAAAGACTCTCCTGGCCAGTGAGAGAAAAATGCAAAATCCCTGGATAGCCTAAGAGGGTTTCTTTGAAAGTTACAATGCCCGCTGCTTTTAGAATTTTCTTTATCTTTGATTTCTGACAGTTTCATTATAATGTGTATTTTTGCATCGAGATAATAGGGTGATCTGTTAGCTCTGTGAACTTGGATGTCCAATTCTCTCCCCAGGTTTGGGAAGCTCTCAGCTATTATTTATTTAAATAGTTTTCTGCCCCCTTCTCTCTCTCCTTCTGAAACTCCAGGCATTCCAGTATTTGTTCTTTTGATGGAATCCTATTGATCGCTTTGGCTTTCTTCACTCTTCATTCTTTTCTTTTTGTCCTCCCCAAACTGGGTTGTTTCAAAATCCCCACCCTCTAACCACTTATTCTGTCCTCCGGATGCTTTACTCTACCGCAGATGCTCTATTGCATTTTTCATTTTACTCCTTGAGTTCTTCAGCCTCAGAATTTCTGTTGGTTTTTTTTTTTTTATGATTTCTTTCTCTTTGGTAAAAATCTCATTTTGATCATGTATTTTTTTTAAGATTTCATTGAATGGGCTGAGTCTTCTTGTAGCTCACAGAGAGAGCAGCTACTTGGAATTTTTTATCAGCTAGATCACAGATTTAATGCCTTTAAACTCAATTTTGGGGGAGTTTTTAACTCTTTGTGATGGCACGTTTTCTTGGTTTGTCACGTTCCTTGTAACTTTGTGTTGCTGCATTCACATCTGTGGTAGCGGACAGCTCCTTAAATCTGTGCGAGTTGCCTTGAGATGGGGTGTTCTATGCTACGGTGCGGGTATGCGGGTTTTCGCTCTCTCTACCTGGAGGCGTCCGCTCTGCTCCCTTGCTCTCTCTTGTGGCGGGATTCATAAGCTTTTATGTCTTTGGTTCTTAGAACTCACCAGCTGGCTACTGGAAGCCTCTCCTTTGTTTTCCTGAAGGTGGCGCTGTGGCTCGCTTGTGGTTTCTCCCTGGCCCACAGACCTAGGCCTGTTGTCTGAGCGGCTCTCTGTCTACTGAGCTCTCCCCAGTGCTGCACTTCGGGGCAGGGACAGGAGCTGCTGCATGGTGGGAGGAGGTGTGGGTCTAGTGCCCAGGCATTGGGGGTGCCTGGAGACACACTGGTGAGATCCCCGAGTGTGGTGCTCCCACAGGCTCCTGGTGGACTTTCTGCTGCGCACCATCCCCCTAAGGCCCCCTTGAAATTCTTATTGGCCTCTCTCCCAGTCTCCTTCCTTCCCACAGTCACGGACATCCAGCCTCAGTACCGTGGGTCCTGCTGGAGAGCAGTGGGGTCTGCAGCCGCATCCCATACCGCTGGGGTAGCCAGCACTCCCGCACCCCTGTCCTCCGCCCCCCCCCGCCCCCCCCCCAGTCTGACAGATCAGTCCTCTGCAGTGTTTCCTTGCAGAGCATGGCTCTGGGAAGGTTTCTCTTAAGGCCACCTCTGCTGTGATTGGCCAGTCTGCTCAGATTGTTTTTTGTGTGTATGCTTTGTTGGCTCCAGTGGCATGCTGGAAGCTCCCCTTGGGAAGACTGGACTTGTGCACATTCTGTCTCTTGTGTGCGTATCCCTGCAGGTCAGCATTCTGCAGGTCTCTCCCCAGCTGCAGCGAGAGGGGTCTGGGCAGGTTTGGTGGTGGTTTGGTGGCTGCACTGGTTCCGCAGCCCACACTGAGTTCTGTCTGTCTGTTGCCGGATGTGCAAGGGGGTGAGGCTCCCCCGGGCCCCTTGGTGTATGTGCTAGGTCCCAGCAGCCAGCATGGGGCTTTGGTCTGTGGATGGATGTCTGATTCGTTGTGAAAAAGGGGGATAAAAAGGAGGAACATCTTAGCCACCATGATGCTGACATCAGTCTCCTTCTGCTTAAAGGCCTGTAGTAGGGAACTTTAGCAAGACTTGAGTAGTTGTAGTTACCACATAGTAAAACAATATTGCATTTCTTCTTAAATACTAGTAAGTGTTGCATTTCTTCTCAAATACTCATACTATAAAGCTTTTTAATAAACCAGATGCTTTTCTTACAGCTCTACTTCTCTCCCTCCTTCTCTGTCCACCCAGCCCTTAGACTAAATATGAGGTGTTTGCATATATTCTTCACCACAAACGTGTCTAGTTTATCTCTTGTGCTTGCGAAGACACCACACCTTGGAAGAGTTAAGTAGGAATTTGCTTATGAGTGCCCGAAGCCTGTTTCTCTGTTCCTTCTGCAAAGCGAGGGGTACAGTTCACACTTGGAACAGTAGTCACTCTATTATGTGATTCTAAAAGATAGCCTTTATTGATCGATCAGTGAAGGCAGAAGTATTTCATAATACTTTGCTTTCACAGACTTAGGATGTCTCAAAGCCTATATTTCAATACCTGTGTTTTATTCTTGGGCACTTAAATGGGAAAAAAATAATATATCGTCCAGGTTGAGTTTTGTGGTTCTGTTCGGTCATGACAAGTAGATGGTAGTGTTTAAAAACGGTTGGCGTCAGACATTGAAGCTTCCTTTTCCCTCAACCCTGGGCTTTCCCTGGGACGCTGCAAGTTCCTGAGGCCTCAGAAAGATGGACAGGATTCCTTTTCTGTGATGCCTTCGAGCCTCACACCCCACTTTCTTGCCTCTCTTCCACAGTCTTTGTGAGGACGGCTCATGTAAATGAGTATGACAGTGGCCAGGGCGGGGGAGCTTGTGTGTGAGTGCGTGTCTGGCTTATGTTTCAGTCTGTCCTTCAGTGTCAACAAGGTGGACACAGGTTACGTAGCTAAGGGCTGAAGACAGCATTATTTCATCTCTCGGTACCCAGCTTGGGAAATAAAGACCGAAAGTAGGCTGGGGCTTTGAGAGGGATGTATTGAAGATTAGATCAAAAACTTTTATCGGGTACTTGCTGTGTCCCAGATTTTAAGTATCTTACATGAGCAGACTTACTTAACCCTCATCAAAGTATTGTTATGAAGTAGGTGCCATTATGATGCTCATTTTACAAATGAGGAAACTGAGGCATGGAGAAGCCGAGTAACTTTCCCAAGGTCACATAGCCAGTAAGTGACAGGAAGGAAGTCCGATGGTGTCCAGTGGAAATACCTCATCCCCAGACCTGAGATACCTTCCTTCCTGGGGATTTTATTGACTCAGGGAAGGAGACTGGCGTTCTCCTTGTGTAGCTGTTGCTGCCCCAGTTTACAGGGGGATATAAGAAATGATAGCATTCTACATTCTTTCTTGCATATTTCCAAGAGGTCTTCCAGCCTTGGCTAGAATGCCTCAAAGGATTGAGGAATTTAGTCTCTCTAGAGGCGACCTTACTTCTGGACAGCTCAGAGTGATGGAAAAGTCCAGCTGGCCTCCCGTAACTTCCATCAGTCTTCTGCAGACCTCTTTGGAGCTACATTTCTCCCTCCTGCTTGAGTGGATCGGGGAGCCTGTGTGATTGCCTTCCTGCAGGCTGAGAAATCAGGGAAAGGCCATCTTGCTCATTTCTGCTGCCTCTAACTTTGTGGTGTGTGAAACCAGAGTCCTCTTCAGAGGTTGGGGCAGTCGGTCTTCTAGCGGGAATCGTCCATTAACTGACATGTCAGTGACCTTCTCACAAGTCCACTAGATATCTCCTCCCCTGCAGACGTAGAGATCTGAGGCACGTCTTTACCACTCTGCATGAACACATTTACTCGGAGAGCCAGATATGGTGTTGGGAAGAACACAGCATTTAAGGTGTGGCCCCTGCCTCAGTGTTTCTGACAAGATCTGAGGGGCAAGATTTAACCACCTGAGGCAGTTGTGTTCCACTGTTCACTTAAATGCTAGAGACACTCAGGGGATGATCGGTGAGGATCAGTTTTGCCTTTTTCCCAAACGTTTCTATTATGTTGTCTCTGGGTGGATATGTGGGGTTGTCTTCTGCGTCCAGTTACATCTCCCAAGAACAACATGAGGAAACTCCATGTACGTCTCAGCGCTGTTGAGAATGGGCAGGATGGCCTTCATCAAAAGCCCATGCGTGTGCTCTCCTGCTGGGGTCTCCCATTTGCCTGGTGGAAGGAGACCCAGAGGGAGAGCTTTTTTTCCTGGTACTGTTTCTTAACAGCATCGAATGGTGTCCTTTCCCCGAAATCATAACTGGGGAACGAGGTGTATTCGTGGCGACCTGACATGGTTCTGCTTGTTGTTCATTGCCCTGACTTAACTTCCCTGTCCCTCTCCCCGCAGAGTAGCGGCAGACATGATGAGCACCAAGGCCTTCACCTTGGTCTCTGCCGTGGGCTGGGAGCTGCTAGCAGGCGACAAGGAGCGCGTGCACGTAGAATGCGTGGAGTGCTGCGGGAAGAACCTCTACGTGGGCACCAGGGACTGCGTCGTTCACCACTTCCTATTGGAGGAGCGGGCGCTGCCCACCGGGACGGCCACCTTCTCTGCCGCCAAGCAGCTGCACCGGCACCTGGGCTTCCGGAAGCCAGTGAATGAGCTGCGAGCGGCCTCGGCCCTCAACAGGCTGCTGGTGCTCTGTGACAACTCCATCACCCTGGTCAACATGATGAGCCTGGAGCCCGTCCCCTCAGGGGCGCGCATCAAAGGGGCCGCAGCGCTGGCCTTGAACGAGAACCCTGTGAACGGAGACCCATTCTGCGTGGAAGTCTGCATCATCTCGGTCAAGCGCAGGACCATCCAGCTGTTCCTGGTGTACGAGGACCGGGTTCAGATCGTCAGGGAGGTGTCAACGCCGGAGCAGCCCCTGGCCGTGGCTGTGGACGGCCACTTCCTGTGTTTGGCTCTGACCACACAGTACATCATCCTGAACTACAACACGGGCTTCTCCCAGGACCTATTTCCTTACTGCAGCGAGGAGAAGCGCCCCATCGTCAAGAGGATCGGGAGACAGGAGTTCCTCCTGGCAGGTCCCGGAGGACTGGGTGAGCCTCCACCAACCTCCGCCTCCCATCTGTCCATTCCCTTTGCCTTCCCATCTGTCCATTCCATGCCCAGATCTGGAAGGGAGAATTTAGCTGTGAAGATAGATACTCGTGAAGAGCATTCGCCAACACCGAGGATGTGTGGCAAGTTGTAAACAGAATGCAGAACCAGTGTGTGCTAACGTTCCCTTAGATTGTCCAGTGAATGTAGGGTCAGTGGAACAAAAATAGGCCAGTCATAAAGGAAAGCCAGCTTTATTCCGTGCTAAAGGGGAGCCTCGACATGGCTCTGCGGAGAAAATTCCTTTAAGTAAATAACTACAAAATAAAAATCCGTAAGACTTCCTTGTAAGATGTTCTCACGTGTGGGTGGGTTTGTCGGTTGTTTTTACTCTTCGTTATGAAAGGGAGTGGAGCTCACTTAGGCATATTTTCAAGTGTGGAGACCAGCGTTCCGTCCATTATTTATTTAATTGACTGCGGTTTCATCCCACCACACTGTCTTGTCTCTAGCCCCCTGAAAGGGCTTTGGCTCTGTTGTATGGCCTTGCGAGTTCCCTGTGCTGCCTTCTCAAAATTAAGACTCAGAGCTGTTCACGGCATGGGTGACTTGTACTTTCTTTCAGTCGTGGATGGCTCATTTTAGGGTTTGTGTGTGTCTGTGACACACAGCGGATGCTGGGGAGGGTGAGCCTATCTCACCACCGGTATTTGTTAACCGTAGTCTGTGTGCAGGCATCTCATCTCAGAGTGAGGGGTACAAACATATTTTCCGCTAATAACGAAAGTTGAGGTCATGAACTCTAGTTAGTGAACACTTACTGATTTTTACTTTTTTAAATCATTTTTGTTTTTCAGAGCAATTTTGGGCTCACAGCGCAATTGAACAGGAAGTACAGAGTTCCCATATACCCACTACCCCCAAACACGCACATCCTCCTGCACTATCCACATCCCCCCAACAGAGTGGTACATTTATGATAATGGATGTATCTATAGGGATACTTTGTAATCTCCCAAAGTCTGTAGTTTACATCAGGGTTCACTCTTGGAGTTGTACATTCTTTGGGTTTGGACAAATGTATAATGACATGTATCCATCATTATGGTACCATAGAGAGTATGTTCATTGCCTTCAAAATTCTTGGTGTTCTACCTGTTCATCCCCTACACCCCCAACCTCTGGCAACCACTGATCTTTCCCGAGTGTCATGTAGTTGAAATCATACAGTATGTTACCTTTTCACAAGAGTGTCTTTCACTTAGTAATACGCCTTTAAAGTTCACCCGATTTTTACTTTCTGGACAAAAATTCTTTACCCCAACCACCTTTTTCTTTAACAAAAATTCCTGGTTTTAATAAAGATTGGTATTATGGAAAATATAGAGAGAGTAAAGAGACTATTATAATGAACTCCAATGTACTCAGCTCCAGCTATTGTGAATTCCTTGCCAATTGTTTGATTTATATACCTAACCATTTCCCCTGCTCAATTAGCATAGCATCGTGGGCACCATAGCACTTCTCTTATAAACCGTTCAGTATGTAGTTCTAAGTTCCTTAAAAAAAAAAGAAAGGAAGAAAAAAGAGAAGAAAACCACAATACTATTGCATACCTAAGAAAAATTTAACAGTAATTCCTTAATATCACCAAATATCAAGGCATGCCATATTTCTCCTGTTATCACACATAAACAGAGAGACATATGTAAATACCTATCTACATAAATTTATGTTTAAGGATATGTGCATTTTTCAGTTTTAATCAGATCCCACATGAGGCGTGTGCATTGCAGTTGATTGATCTGTTAAGCTTCTCTGGGTCTGTAAGTTCTCTTAAGGTTCCTTCTCCTTCTCTTTTTATTTTTCCCTAACTTTTTGTTGAAGAGGTTGGATCATTTCACCTGTAGCATCCCACAGTCTGAATTTTGATGATTTTTTTTAAAGATTTTATTTATTTATTTGAGAGAGAATGAGAGATAGAAAGCATGAGAGGGAAGAGGGTCAGAGGGAGAAGCAGAATTTTGATGATTTTTATCCCCTTATGTTGTTTACTATGTCAGGTTGACCTTTGTGTTTCCTGCCAACTGATAATTAGGATGCCAGCTCTTATCAGATTCAAGTGTGGGGTGTGTTTTTTGTCTTTTTGGGGTTTTTTTTGCTTGTTTTGGGGAGAGGCAAGACTTCCTCGTTGGCAGTGGAGGACTTCCATCAGGGTTGTGTAATTTCTTTTTCTCTCTGTGATGTCAGGAGCTATTGATGAGTGATGCGTAGAGCCTTTAAATCATGGTGGGCTGCCAAATGGCAGCGTTCTGTTTCTGTCCCTTCCTCCTTCATAACTGGACTGGTTCAGTGAAGAGAAACTTACTGTATTTGGCTGCCCCCAGGTCCATTGTATAAGAAAGGCAGCACGGGATGGTTCTCAATAAGGTGATCCCTTCTGTCTCCCGAAGCGACTTTTAAAAGATACCAGGATGCATCATGGATGCAAACACATATGGTGCGTTTCCATCTATTTGTGCTTGGCGGGGGGCAGGGGTTGTCCAGGTTGACTGCCACACCCCTTTCACATGACCCTAGAACTTGGACGGCTTCCTCGCCTTCTGGTGTGGAAAGTGTTCCAGGTTCATTTTGTGCTTTTCCTGCCCTAGATCTGGTTTCAGCCATTTCTCCAAGGACCCCTGATGCTTAGAGTCCACGGGCTGGGTGCTAGAGCTGCTTGTTGCCCATTGTGTTCAGGACTCTTCAGTGGACAGAGTTGGGAAGGATTTGTTTCTGTAAAGGTAAAATCCATTGTGAGACCATACTGATAGAACCAGTTCACGGCTGCAGGGCATTGACCTCATCTGTCTTTCTGTTCCTGTCTGCCTTAAACCACACCCAGAGTCTTAGTAAACCACTGCCCGACATAATTGTTCCTTTGACTAATCCCGCAGTATGCAGAACAACAATACTGACACCACTATTCCCATATTGCAATGACTGAAAATAGTTTGTTTATGGTTCTTTTTGTCTTGAGGGTAGGGTGTACATAAAACCCATCAGGAATGTATGGTCACATTATTGTGTTTTAAAGTCACTTGGAAGAGTCCCCCTCTGTTTGGTTATGCCACCACCTGGATATACAGTTAATTTGTCTTATTTTACTTTTGATTTTTAGGAATTGCTTTATTTCATTTTATATTTTTACTACATAAATATGTACAAGATTCCAAGTCAGGTGGGCTACAGCAAGCTATTCTCAGAGAGCTGATATCCTGTCATCTTCACTTATTTTCTTCTTCCCCCTTAGGCAACCTTTATTTTTATGGTATTTTTATGGTTTATCCTTTTATTTTTTAATAAAAAATATAAATAATATGTAAATATTTGTATCTCTCAGCGCTTTTCTTTTTTTACTTAATGTATTATGGAGACCCCTTTGTAATATAATTCAGAGATATTCCTCATTTCATAGCTGCATGCTACCCCGTCGTGTGGAGGTACCATGGGTTTTTTAAAAAATCAGCCCTATTGGTGGGCATGTGCATTTTTTCCAATTTTACTAGGGACTTATTTTTTTGTATTTTCCTGGTGGATCTATGGAAAAGCCTTTTATAGGTGGGATTGTTGAGTCAAAGTACAAATGCATGTGAGTTTTGCTAGGTATTGCCATATTCCTTTGATAAAGGTTGTACATTTTCTGTTCTCCCCAGCAACATATGACAATGCCTGTTCCCTATGTTGTTGAACTTCTGTGTTGTCTGCAATCCCATACATGAGAAGTGGTATCTCAGCGTAGCTAATTGCATTTCTCCTGTGATGAGCAAGAGGGAACATTTTTTAAAAAGATTGATTTATTTATTTCGGGGGGTGGGAGGAGGGGCAGAGGGAGAGGGAGAGAGAGTCTTAAGCAGACTCCACTTGGAGCCCAACATGGGGCTCGATCTCACGACCCTGAGATCATGACTTGAGCCAAAACCAAGAGTTGGATGCTTAACCGACTACGCCACGCAGGCGCCCCAAGAGTGAACATTTTTCATACATTTAGGAGCCATTTGCATTTCTTTTGATGGGGATTATCTGTTCTTTTCTCTTGCCATTTCTTTTAGTGTTCTCTATGTGTTTGAGACACCAACTTGTTGCCTGGTGTAGGTTTCAAATATTTGTTTCCAGTTTTTACCCTGCAAAAGCTTTTCTTCAACACTCCTATATAATCGAATGTATTAACCCTTTTACTTTATTGTGTCTTGATTTTGAGTCATAATTAGGTGAGAATTCTACCGCTGCACCACCTGTGCACGTGATTTCAAGTCATAATTAGGGACGTTTCCCTCTCTTCTGGTTATAGACAAATTCACCCATGTTTTCTGCTGGTACTTTTATGGCTTCATTTTTTTATAGTTTCACTTTTTACAGTGCAGAGTATAAGGAACGGATTTGGTTTATCCTTTTCTCTATGGCTGTCCATTATCCCAACCAACCGACTGCAGAGCCCACCCTCTGTCACTGATGTAGGCGGCTGCCTTTAACGCACACCGAATTCCCTTAGGCCATTGGGTCTATCTCTGGATTTTCTGTTCTGTTCCGTCAGTGTGTTTGCCTGCTTACGAGCCAGTACCTTACTGTTTTGGCTTTATAGGGAAAACATTTGACTCCAGTATCATTTGTAAGCTGTCTTATACATTACCTATATACAGGTTCTGTATGCAGCATAGCAATCACCAGCTTTATTACATGGCTTCAGAATTAAGTTCAAATATGGGCGCCTGGGTGGCTTAGTCGGTTAAGCGTCCGCCTTCAGCTCAGGTTGTGATCCTGGGATCCTGGGATTGAGCCCCCCTACCCCATGTCGCTCAGTGGGGAGTCTGCTTCTCCTTCTGCCCTTATCCCTCCCCCTACTCGTGCTCTCTCTCTATCCCCCACAAATAAATAAATAAAATCTTTATAAAAAAAGAATTAGGTTCAAATAAATTGCTGTAATGAATGCAAATGCAACTTTAAACATATGAAAGCTATATATTTTCGTTTTGCTTTTGTTTCTCCCTGAAGATTATACGTGCTCACTCCTGTGTCATGAGGAACCACTCTCAGCTTTTTGCCTTAGCTTAGAGTTTCCTATTCTCAGCAATACTTCGTTGAAATTTTCATAATGTGATTGAGTCTTGTGACTTTAAACTCTGTCCTTTGATAATACTTCTTGAAAAATGCAGATAATTAAGCTCCTCCTGACTCCACATGGCCCCCTGTCCTCCTGGCCCTCTCCCTTCCTCCCTGCTCAGATAAGGGGTCCTCATATTTAAAGGGTGCACAATTGAAAATAATGCTTTTTAAAGATGTACCATTTACACATTTGTTACATTTGCACATTAACAGCACTTGACTCTGACAATTCAGAAACAATAGAGTTTGTCACCTGCTCCACAGGCATATAATTAATTGGTGGGTGTTAATAACAGTAGCTTTGTTACTAAGTTGTTCTGTGGCACCTTCTGATGCCTGACCTGGGCCCATCAGCTGCCAGTTACTGCTTTGCCCTTTTATTCCAGTGTCATCTGCTTTTTGGGTGAATAGAAGCCTTTGTTCTTGACCTCTGGTTTCTGCCCATTTCATTACGAGAACATTCATGTCAGGGCCTCTGCATTGCACACCCCCTGGGCCAGGCGATACCCAGCCTTAGGTAGGTAAAGGCAGTCCACCCAGATTTAATTCCAGGATGAGGCTGGACAACGTCTTACTGTCCATGTTCCCGGGAGAGTGTGCTATACATGATTATTTGACCCAAAATTTAGCAGCGTCCTTGGGCTTACAGTTTACGATTGCCAGGCTCCCAGGGGAGGGGCATGCAGGCGCCCGTGCCTTCGGGTTCTTTTCAGCTGGCTGGCTCTAAATGCGCAGAAGAGTCAAGATAGTGCTAACCTCCTTTCTTCCTCCAAAGCTCAGTCCTCATTCCAGATTCTTAATGCTGCCCAAAGCTTTGCCCCTCGGTTTTTCTTGAGCAGTTTTTAATGCTATCTGAATACTTTGGCGATGCAGTTGGTAGGCTAGTTCTGATTGTAATTACGTCCTCTCTGTTACGGTAAAACACCGGCAATGCCAAACCCCGGGCCTTCGGTCCCATGCATTGTCTGACCGCGGCGACAGAACCAGACTACCCTCATTGTTCAGTCCTGCCTTCCAGCTCTGAGTCATCTTGGTGGAGTTTTCCGCGTTTTCATTGATTTCTTACCTACTTTGAAAAGAGATGAGAACGAAAAGCCCCCACCAGCCTCAGGCACAGTCCTGGGTTGCACTCTGTGGAGACCGTTCCTCTCGGGTCATCCTGTACTCTACTGTGGCTTTTGGTGTGCTCTGTGGAAGCATGCTGTCCCCTTTGGGAAGCATGCTACTACCACCCCCTGAGAAAGTCTGTGACCTCCAGTTCCGGGAAATGCAAACACTGACTCCCAACCAGCCCTGCATCCTAATCCCTGTTTCGTTTCAGACTCCGTGCAGTGCTGTTCAATCCTGACGCTGGCAGCTGCATGGTGGCCCTTAACTCACCTTCTCTCGCTCCCACTGAGTCAGCGGCCAGGTTCCCCGATTCACCCCTGGAAGTGGCCGCCCCCCCTCTGTTGTGCCCCAGTTCGGGCCTAGCCAAGGCTGCCTCCTTGGTGGCCGGCAGCCGGCTGGCCCTCCCCTGTGTGGCTCCTTTGCACGCAGCTTCCACACTTCCGCCCGACTGGCCTTCGAAAGCCTCCGTGGCCTGTAACAAGTGCAGGCCACACTCCTCAGCCTGACTAGAGGCCAGCGCTGTCCGTTCCAACGGCAGCTTGACTTCTGAACAGGGTGTGCCCTGTTCTGGGGACACGTGCCCTCCCCGCTGCTGCCCTCTGTGTGTGTCCTCTTTCCTGTGCGGGTCTGATCGCTCAGCTCTGTCCGGACTTGACCTCCATCAGCACTCCGCCTGCTCACCACCTTTCTATGCCCTGGTCTTTATCTCTTGTGTGGTCATTGTTTACATATTTCCCTTAACCCCTTCACCACCCGTGAACCCTTGAATCCATTGTCCGTCTCTTGATAGCGAACTCCGTGCTCCACACAGCGAATGTTCAAACTGAAATCACTGCTCAACGTGCTAATTTATAGTAGTTCTTTTTGTCTGTACTCATTTAATAGAGGAGCCTTCTTTTCTGTTTGTGGTGTGTTCACCCAGAGCCACATCATCTTTTCATGTGTTCTGCTCAATTTTACACTGTTACTAAAAATATCGCAGAGACCACCCTTATACTTACGAGTTGGCAATAAAAGTAGAATCAACTAAAGAGGGTAAGTGTATATTCAGTTGTGGTAGATAATACCCAAATCATTCTCCAAAAGGTGTTTCCTTATACCATACCAATACTCGGTATTATCGGTCTATAACCTTTGGCCAATTTGATGAGTAAAAGTTGTGTTTTTACTGTTTTTCATTTAAACTTGTGCCCTTGGTTATTGATGAATATGAGAATCTCTTCATGAATTTATTAGCCATTTACATTTTGTCTTTTGTGAATTACTAATTTATAGCCTCTCTCTCTGTATTGAGTTGTTAGTCTTTTTCCTAATGAGTTTTGGAGACTTTGAAGGGCCAAAGGGAATAGTCAAGATCAGAATGGTTTACATTAGGCAATTGTGACTCCTTAGTAGAGGGGACACACACACACACACACACACACACACACTCGGCTTACTGTTTCATCATCTTTTTTTTTTTTTTATTCAATTTAGCTAAAGTATAGTGTAGTTTGGTTTCAGGAGTAGAATTCAGTGATTCATCAGTTGCATATAACACCCAGTGCTCATCACAACACGTGCCCTCCTTAATGCCCATCCCCCATCCAGCCCATCCCCTATCCACCTCCCCTCTGGCAACCCTCAGTTTGAGAGTTCCAGTTGTTGCTACCACATGCCGAGAACCCGTATGTAAAGTGTTAAGCAGGGCCTAACAGTGCTCTGAGCACAGTGTTGTTTCAGGGAGAGCCTCGCGTGTGTTAGGTAAGAGCGGGGCGTGTATGCATACGTGAGGTCCCACGTGATACCCAGTTTCAGGAACAGCCTAATTTAGAGGCTGTTGTAATTGATGAACTGCAGTATCTTTTAGTCTTTAACTACAGAAAATTTAGGTGGGTTGATGATTTCACAGGTTTAGGAATTTTGCTCGAATGGTATAGTTGAGATATTTTCCCTTGTTTTAATCTTGAAGTTCTCTGCATATCTCTGTGTGTCCTCTCCCCGTTCTCCATCCTATACAGTAGAAACCAGCTGTTGCAATAGCAGCTGATGGTTTGCAGGCAACAGCACACTGGTTTTTTTTTTTTTTTGGCAGGGGGGACAGCAAGCAATTTTTTTTATTAACATAAAATGTATTATTTGTTTCAGGGGTACAGGTCTGTGATTCATCAGTCTTACACAATTCACAGCGCTCACCACAGCACATACCCTCCCAATGTCCATCACCCAGCCACCCCATCCCTCCCACCCCCCTCCACTCCAGCAACCCTCAGTTTGTTTCCTGAGAAATACCATTAAGAGTCTCTTATGGTTTGTCTCCCTCTCTGGTTTCATCTTGTTTATTTTTCCCTCCCTTCCCCTATGATCCTCTGTCTTGTTTCTCAAATTCCTCATATCAGTGAGATCATATGATAATTGTCTTTCTCTGACTGACTTATTTCACTTAGCATAATACCCTCTAGTTCCATCCACATCGTTGCAAATGGCAAGATTTCATTTTTTTGATGGCTGCATAATATTCCATTGTGTGTATATACCACATCTTCTTTATCCATTCATCTGTTGATGGACACCTGGGCTCTTTCCGTAGTTTGGCTATTGTGGACATTGCTGCTATAAACATTGGGATGCACGTGCCCCTTCGGATCACCACATGTGTATCTTTGGGGTAAATACCCGGTAGACAGCATGCTGTTTTTAAAGGTGTTTGACATCAGCTAGTTTGAAAACTAAGTTGCAGTGGATTGACTTTACAAATGTATTAATTTTGGTAAACCCCAGTATCTGTGGACTATATATAGCTCTTTGAGAAATGGCTAGTTTGGTACTTTATGCACAAGACAGATAAGCCGTCAGTTGGTATGGAAGTTATTGGCAAACACTCAACAGCAGTGTGTCTTGAAGTGCAAAATTGGTTCTGTCCCTGCATTAGGGGGTGCGTGTGTCCAATATTAGACTCAGCTCTGAGCAGGGACAGTTCCTGATAGGACGCCTTGTGCAGTGCCTGGCACATAGTAGGAGCTCAGTAAATGTTTGAGGGGATGTATTCAATATTCATTCAACAAGGAAGGGCTGTAACTTAGAGACGCTAACCAGTTGGAGGACTGGATGTAAGAGAGCTTGCAAAGCCGCTTAAATTGCTGGGAAGTAACTTTTTCTGCACAGGTGAGGACGTGCACTTTATAAACTTTCAGGGGGGTACATGTAAACTTTTTTTTAAGCTCATCTTTAATTGGAAGCAGATGAAAGGTACACATTCAGTGCAAGGTAGTTCTCTTCCTAATAAAGTCATGTAGGCTTCTTCACACTTGTAGCATCTTATATTATCTTTAGATCTTGAAAAATAAGGCAGGAGGGGATGGTATTCTGCACCCAGACACATCTACAGAAAGGAAAAATGCCACAGTTCTTTGGAGGTCCACCTGACTCTTCCTATTTTTACAGGCATGTTTGCCACAGTTGCTGGCATATCTCAGCGAGCCCCTGTGCACTGGTCGGAGAATGTGATCGGGGCAGCCATTTGCTTCCCATATGTCATAGCGCTCGATGATGAATTCATCACGGTGCACAGCATGTTGGACCAGCAGCAAAAGCAGACCCTGCCCTTTAAGGAAGGCCACATTCTACAGGATTTTGAAGGTACTACTTTGCACAGAAATCTTAATGAAATTTATTTATCAACCCATTTGTGATATTTTTTCAGTAAACATTAGTAAGGGTCCATTCGAAGCTGGACCTCATGCTAAACTTTGAAGCTACACAGTTAATGGTATGCAGTTTTGGGGCTCCAGGGGCTCCAAGGGTAAAGGGGAGATAGACATTTGGACAGATAGTTGTCGCAGTTGAAGAGCTTGATAGGCATGAAATAAGGCCAATCAGGAGAGCAGAGGAGGAAATGTTTCCTGGAATTAATCAGGGAGGGCTAGATGGTATTTGAGCCAAACCTTTAAGGATGAGTACGAGTCAGCCAAGCAGATTTGGTGTGAAAGGACCTCAGGTAGAGAGAAAGGTGCCTGCAGATCTGCGCAAGAGGGAGCCCTGGTCTTTGGGCCATGCAAGCAATTCAGGGTGACTATAGTACGTCATGTGTGAGGAGGGCTGGCCTGAGATGAGGCTGCAGCAGACCAGGGCTGTCAGGAGGGACTTCCCCTTGTGTGCAGCAGTGAGCCAGGCGAGGGATTTCTTTTCCTTTTCCTAAATTTTATTATGAATATTTTCAAGTGTACTGAAAAGTTGAAAGGAAAACAAAGTGAAGTACCATATACCATTCAGCTAGACTCAACACTTGTAAACATTTTGCCAAGCCATTCAGAAGTAAGTAAAAGACATCATGACATTTAATCCGAAATACTTCAACACACATCTCCTAAGAATTAGAGCATTTTCCTATATAACTGCAAAGCCCTTTCGCCCCTTAGAAAATGAGCTGACCATGTTCAGATTTCCTCAGTTGTCCTAAGAAGGTCTTTTATGATATTTTCTTCACACCGAGAACTGATCTAGATTTATACATTGCATTTGCCATTTAAGGATTTTAGCTCACCAAACATTGCCCTTCCTGTTCTAGATGTGAGGGATATAAACTTACTGAGACTCTTGGCCCCCACATTAAGGGTGTCACATTCCAGTCAGGGGCCCCGACACACACATCAGAAGAGTGTGTCTCGGAACAATGTCACCGTGCCGCGGACGAGTGGTCGAAGTGGGCACGGGGTCATGGGCACATAGAGACTGCCTGTGTAACCCCCACCCGCCCCCAGTGCAAACAAGGGGAGGCTTCCCAGGAAAAGGGACACCCATGTAGAGAAGGGACAGAATCTCAGTATGAGAAAAATTACCTCGCTTGTGATATAGAAGGCAGATAATCTGGGCAAGAGAGCAGAGCAGGAAGACTAAAAGGGAGATGTCCAGGCAAGGAAAAACGAGGCCTTCTGTGACACCCGACAGTGGGACTGGAGTGGAACGATGGGACCCCAGGAGAGAAGGGCGGGGGAGCCCGGAAGCCTTGGCTGACACTGAGTCATCCTTCAGACAGGAAGGAAGGATCATCCCATTGCTTTCTGCATACAGGTGATAGTTTGCTTAAAGAGTGTCTCCAGAAGGGACCAGAACTCAAAACTTCGTAGCAGGAGCGCGCATTGGAGTACAGCTCCAGTTCTGTGTGCTGTCCGCACAGGGTCTCACAAGTACCACGGGGGTGATGGCCACTGGTCAGGTGAACTCATGGGGCTGCGGGGAAATGAATAAGGCCAGGCTGAGACTTGGGTGTTTGGATGGTAGGTGAGAATGAAATATCTCATGGTTCAGAATATAGTATTATAATCTTAGTTTCCTATAAACTAACATGGAAAGAAAAGAATTCTTAAAAAATTTTTATAGGAAGTATCTCGTAATTCTCATAGATCGTTTGCCATAATTGATCTCTACAACTTCTTTGGACTATATATTATGTATCTACTCAACTGTTTATTTTATTTTATTTTAGATTTTATTTGAGAGAGAGACAGAGAGAGCATGAGCAGGGGGAAAGGGAGAGGGAGAAGCAGACTCCCCGCTGAGGGTGGAGCCTGACACGGGGCTCGATCCCAGGACCCTGGGATCATGACCCAAGCTGAAGTCAGATGCTTAACCAGCTGAGCCATCCAGGCGCCCCAGTACTCAACTGATTTTAAATTTATCAGCACTTTCAAATAAATGGCAAAAAAAGCATATTTTGTATTTTGGAAACGTGGTATTAGCGTCCATACTTTTTCTGACAGTTGACAATATGGGAAGAAGAAAAGAAAAGCATTATAATTTATAATTTCTGTAGGAATTTTGTGTTGGGAGAACTACGATGAGATCAGCCATCAAATTGGATGACAAGCCCGTTTCGGGGAAGCAGCGTGTGTCTGTGCAATATGTTCTTTCTCTTTCCAACACTGTTGAATTTTTTCCCAGGAAGAGTGATTGTCGCCACAAGTAAAGGAGTTTACATCTTGGTTCCCTTACCCCTGGAAAAGCAAATACAGGATCTTCTAGCAAGCCATAGAGTGGAAGAGGCTTTGGTTTTAGCAAAAGGAGCCCGGAGGAATATTCCAAAAGAAAAATTTCAGGTTTGTAATTAAGTTGGTCACAAGAAAGCGTGCCGCCAAGCCACCAGCTAGAAAACATTCAGATTTCACTAACATACGTCAGCCCTCCCTGTGCGCCACGATTTGCAGATTGCTTTTGGATCTGTTGTCTCATTTCCACAGCCCATCCACATCACACAGATACGGAGGCAGGTTGCAGAGCAGTCCAGGACAGCTGGCCTGAGGTCTCACTGCCAGCCGAGGCCAAGTCAGACTGTGAACCTCTGGCTTGATTCCTGAGTCTGACATATATACCAAGTGGTATTTCTTATCAACTCTCTTCTTCAGTGGGCCTCCAGGGAAGAGTCAGGAGCATAGTTCTCATAAACCAACAGAGTAACAATAGCAGCTTAATTTGTCTCCTAATTTAGAATTTGTATTTGTTGGGATGAGGTTAAATGTTAAAAGTTTAGACTTCTAGTATCGGTAGGAAAAGCTTTGTTAGCCATACTGATAAACGGCCTAACACTACAGAAATCCATCTAATTATTTCCGGAGGAGAAAACTTTTAATGCACTTGAGACACCGACTTTAATATAGTTGGGGTGATAAATAAAACTGATCCAACAATCACAAGTTATTCTTATGTCCAGTGAAATCAGGTTCCCTAAAAATTGCTGCTTGATCAGTTGTTAGGTTAGTTCGCCTTACTCTATGTATTTGAAAGTAATGAAACATCCTATGGGTGTGTGTATGCTTCACTGAATATCGAAACTGATCATGAAAAGTTCTGTGACTTAATCATGATCCCCTGATGGTTACCAATCAGTCAGATTTCCACACGACTTAGTGATTGTTGTGGAATGAAATAATGCCTTCTGGCCTCACTTGCTTTATGCTGCCAAGTGAAAGAAGACCGGACATGTAATTTATGGTTATGGATATGAAAGTAGGCATCTTTTTTTGTAATTTTTTTTTTTAGTATAGTTGACACACGATGTTACATTAATTTCAGGTGTACAACATAGGAATTCAACTTCTCTATAGGTTATGCTCTGCTCACCACAAGTGAAGAGGGTGTCCTTTCTGTATTTAAAGATTGATAAAGTGTTCCTCTTTGTTCCTGATTTTTTTTAAAGTGAGACTGATCTATTTGCGTTCAGCAGGGGGCAGCAGAGGCAAAAAGAAGAGCTGTTCAGGAGCTGTGCTATGCTGAGCACACTTTCTCTGCAGCCTGTAGGTCAAATCCAGGTGGGGTGGCCGTGCCTTCCATAGGGTCTGAGGCCTGTCCTTGCCCTGCTTGCTCTCCACCCCATAAGCTGCCTCCTGTGGATGTGTTGGATGTCTAGGTGTGCCACACATTGGGGTGCCCCCTCCTTGCACACACACACGTGCATATGCTTTAAGTGTGCAACATTTTCTTACAGAAACGTCCGATGTTCCTTGTTTGATCTTAGCCCCCCTCCCATCCTTTGGCTGAGTAGCGAGTAGGGATATACAGTCAACATTGGACCATATTAGTCCTCATCTTGCTCAGACGCCATCTGAGTGTCATCTTGATATCTCAGTCGGAGTCTTTTCCTTTCTCGCATGCTCCCTGCCTTCTCCTAGTTGCTGCAAACTCCTATATCCAGACCGGGAAATACACCCTCAGAATGATCTTGAATTCAGCCTTCATTCCCAGTGGCCATTGCTGTTGCTGTGCAGACCTTCTGTTCTGCCTGAGTTGTTATTTTAACAACCTCCTTTGTGTGTGTGTGTGTGTGTGTGTGTGTGTGTGTGTGTGTCCAGCCTCCATGCCACTGTGGGAATGTTCTTTCTGAATGACAGACGGACTCCTTTGCTCAGGGTCCTCCGACGGGCTCCTCACACGCGCTCTCGAAGCCCTTCGAGGTCTGGCCCCGCCCACTTCCATGACCCACTTCCACCTCAAAGGCTGGAGGGCAAAGGAGCCCACGGCTCCCGAGCCCTGGAGCGTGCAAGCGCTCAGTGAGGCATTTCAAAACTTGTTTAATCCTCAAAACGATTGAGAGATAGCCAGCACCACTGTCCGAAGACGGGAAGGCAGGACAGCTGCACTGCTTTCGCTCACGCACGCCTGTCCGGTTGCATTGGTGCCAGCCCTCGGAAGCGGCGCGGCCCCCGCTTGCCTTGCCTCGCCGTTAGCGGAAGGCGCCCTGTGCTTTCACGCGCCTCTCCGCCCTCCCCCTTTGCCCGGCTTGTGATTTATGCTGGTTCCCGTTACTGGGGTGTGCTTCCAGACTCGACAGTATGGTTTCTGTACTTTGCCTACCCCTCTCCTCTGAGTCCTCCCCGTGCCCCCCAGGCAGAACCGATCCCTCCCCCTGCGTTTCTGCAGTTTGTGGGTCAACACTCAGCACATCAGTTTGCACCTCCCTCAGGCTTTGCCCTTCCGAGTTCCTAGGTAGACTCTGCCCTCCTTCTGTCCCTTGGCACCCTGGTTCCGCCTGGGCCGAAACTCACTGCTCTTCAAACAGAGCAGGTACATAATGGACTGCAGAGCAGAAGATTTGTGTTAAAAACAGAATAGTAAGGGAAAAATAATAATGACAGAAAGGGTTTAGAGAGAACTTCTCCTGAACATGTATGTGTTTTTAAGGATGAGATGTAACGCTTGTTATGATGAGGTACATTACTTATTTTAACTTTCGGGTGCTTGCAACGAAATGCTGGACCCTAGGCTTAGAGAAGCCAGAAAAGGAGAGGAAAAGGGACCACAGTCCAGAGGACAGGCTTGTCACTGTCCTGCAACCCTCTCTCTTCATTTAAAGCAAGTATCGGTTTTGGGTCACTGACTTCTGAACTAGGGAGGGATTTATCATGAAGTTTAATTCTGGGACCGGGATTAAAAGACTAGTGCTTCTAGAGATTCCAAAGGGCCAGAGAGTTTAGATCTTTAAGAAAGCTGGGCTTCCATTATATTAAGGTGTAAGATGTTACAAAGAAAGCGGCAGTAAGGAGACCTCTTGCATTAACAAAGGCTTGTGTCAGAAAGTTCTCCTTATTTGTGTCGTGTACTATAGGTAGTATTCATATTTAAGCTTGAACTCTGATACTTGTGGGGTGTTTTTTCTATTTCACCTAAAACTATTTGAGTATGTATCTTTAAAAGGCAAGATGTCCCCTTTTCAGTGTAACCACAGTGCAGTCTGTGGAACTCCCCAAAGTCATCCCAGAGTCCTTCAAAGAACAGAGTCCCATCAATGTTCACATTTCCCAGTTGTCCCGTGACTGCTGCCTCTTGCCGTTCTCTCTGTCCTCCTGGGAAGTCCCAGGCGGGCCGTGCAGTCAGGTGACTGTGTGCCCGAGCCACGGGGGAACATCCTCTGTGCAAACCTGCCACCACTTCTTTCATTTATGTAGTTAGGGTCCTTTGTTTTGTTTGACTTTTGTTTTCTAGGGATCGCTCTTTGGAATTTAATTTTGTTTTATGATTATGTAAAATATTTACAAAGTTCATTCAGAGGAGTCTTTCCTCCCTTCACGTGTCTTCCCCCCTGCCCCCTGGGTCTTCTTTTGGCGTGAAACTTGTGATTTTTGTTCTAATGGTTACCCTGATGTTATTAACTTTACAAAAGTCCTTTGGTTTTCTCTTTTTCTTGCTGGGGGAGAGCTCCTGTTGTCTCTTGGTTACCCCCTTTGAGCAGCACTTGAAATTAGCTGGTGAGCTCTTAGCACCTTCCCCTCCTTTTCCCCAGCAACCGGGTGAAAGTCACATCCCTTTATCCCCAGCATGTCCGCGAGCGTATTGTACTTCTGTGTCACCTCCCCACGGCCCCCTGGTTTTTGATGGTCACATTGTCTCTACTGTTTGCACGCATAGAGCCATCTCCCTTATATTTACCTGTCTTTGTTCAGGGCAGTTGTGTACTGAATGCTCGGGAACATTTTATGCTGCTGACTCTCCAGTCCTCTGGTTTTCGGCAACAATCGTTCCCCCGGCAGATGTCCCAGCATGGGCGTATGGGAACACTGTCCCCGCATGTCGATAACAGTTCCTCTGCAGTCTTTATACTTGAAGGCCAGTGTGGCTGGCTCTAAATTCTTTGACTTACATTATCTTTCAATGAGAAACTTAAATTAAGTTCCACCATTATGTTTTGCCATCAAGTGTCGACAAATATTGGATGACAATCTGAATTCCTTGCCCTTCTAGTGACTTGGCCTTTTACCTTGAATGCCCAAAGGAGTTTTTCCTTGTCTTTCAAGCTCAGTTTCTCATTGTTACCACTTACTGGCTGATTGGAGCTGGCAAAGGCCCTTTCCCCTGCCATCTGTAAACGGCCTGCCAGGCTTTCCAGTGGTTCCTGATAGTGGTTTGGGAACTCTGGCTTTTGTGGCCTCATAGCCCCCTTTTTCTCTGTCCACTTCTCCCCCCCAAGTTTCTAACACCACCTGGTTCCTATAGTTGGTGGTGGTGTGTCCCCAATGGCTTGCGCTTTTGGGTTTGTGGGCATGCCGAGTCACTTCATGCTGTTATAAATGTTGGCAGCGAGTTTTTGGTTTTGTTACCCCAATTGGTTTGTCTGTTTGACCTGTGGTAAAATACACATTAACATAAAATTTACCATCCTAACCATTTTAAGTCTACAGTTCAGTGGTATTGAGTGCATTCACTTTGTTGGTCAACCATCACCACCATGCATCTCCAGAACTACTTCTCATCTCGCAAAACTGAAACTCTGTCCTCATTAAGCACTAACTCCCCATCCCCCTCCCCGTGGCATCGTCATACTTTCTGTGTCCGATTTTGACTATTCCAGGAACCTCATGTAAGTGGACTCATGCAGGATTTGTCCTTTTGTTCCATGGCTTACTTGACTTAGCATGATGTCATCAAGGCTCATCCATACTATAGTACCTGTATGTCAGAATGTCCTTCCTCTCTAAGGCTGAATAGTATATTCCATTGTATGGATGTACCACATTTTCCTTATTCATTAATCCACTGATGGACACTTAGGTTGCTTCTACCCTTTGGCTGTTGCGAACTGCTATGAACTAATTGTTCTGTTTTTATGAGGAGGCTGCAAGATTAAAAAGGCTGCATTGTGACTCTCTTCCCAGATACCTTGGTTTTGAAACATTTTAAAGTAATTTTTAAAATTTTAATATATTTACACACATACACGAACACATTCTACATGGCAAAACCTACTATAAATAAATTAAAAACATAAGTAGCAAAAAGTACTTGCAGTTTAAAGCACAGAAGGTAGGCTGATTTCTCTAAAATGTCAGGACCTCCTTCGAATAAATAAGAAAAAAAAATGAATGGCCCAATAGAAAAATGAATATGAACAGATATTTCATAGAAGGTGAAATCACCTGTTTTAAGATGTTTGAAAAGATATTTTGTCTCACTTATACAGAGATGTGCAAATTGCAAGTTCACTAAGTTATTTTCCATTCAGATTGTTAAAGATCAGAGGGTTTGAGGATACTCTCTGAGGGTGTGGGGAAATGGACACTCTCAGATACCACTTCTAAGAATGTAAATTGCCTGCAGGAGGGCAAACGGAGAATCTCTCTCCAAGTTACAGGGTACAGTTCTGCTCCTGGAGGGGTATCCTACAGGTCTAAGCACAAAAATGCAAAATAACCAATGGAGAAGACTCTTCACGATCAAATTGTTTGTTTAAAGAGAAAAACAATGACCCAGAGGCTGCCGATGGAAGAGTGGTTGAATGCGCTGTGGTCCAGAGGTCGGTTGGAACGCTGAGGAGACAGGAACGAGAACCAAGGACTTTGTGTGTCAAGGCAGAAGGATCTGTGAAAGACAATGAATTAAAAACGTAGAGAGTGCAGACAGTGGGTGTAGTGCTACCAAAATGAGGGAAAGAGTTGGCTTATAAATACATCATGTATTTCTGCAGTTGCCAAGAAATTCATAGCATCCATTACCTCTGGAGCGCCACTGGCTGGGAACTGCCATGGGAGGGAGACTCTTCATTAAATCCCTTTGAATGTTTTGAAATTTGAGCTATATGAATGCATCACTTCCATTATAATCGTAAAAAATACAGGAGGAAAAAATACATGCATGTGTGTAAAGAAAAAAAATCAAAGAGCAAGGGGGCTCTTGCCCTTAGAATGTCATTTTTCTTCCTAAACAGCTATGTGTTCCTATTTCTTAGTATATCCTTTTCAAGAGTTTGGACCTGTGCTTTGGGTAGGTTTCCTTATGCATGCTGAGTTCCTCTAGCCTCTTCTCTGGCCCCCGCGCCCCCACCATCCCCACCTGTGGAACTGACCACTCTTCCTGCTTTGCATGCATGTCCATCACATGGCTGATTCCGGAGCAGGGCTTCTAGTTTGCATGTCACCAGACCCTGGCTCTGGGATGGGGATGGGCGCACGGTGGAAAGGTTCTGTTTTACACGGTTGCATTAACTGGGTTTCTTAACTGGAGGATTTCTCAGAGCTTTTAATACACTAATACCTATTGTGATCCCTGAGAGGCCATATATCATGTATTATATTTTTATTACTATCTTTCTGTGAATTCCCAAGAAGGGGTATATGTCAAATACATTATTTTATACATTATGGATTTGTATTATATATGTAGGAGTGTGTATATACGTGTGTGTGTATGTATATGGCATGTAAATACTTTTTATGTATATATATTATATATCAACATTTACAATAAACACACACACACACACATATATATATACGTACACATCTGTTTACAAACTTAATCAGGATGGAGAATGTCATGGCCGCTTAGGTGGGACAACTGTTTCACCCAGTGTATTTTCAGAAAGGTGTTTTTATTTAGGCAATAACTAAGTGAGAAGAGTTTTAAAATAAGTTTTTAAGACGCCTAAAACCCACCACTGAAGTATGTATTACAGGAAGAGGTATAAATACAGTTAAAAGTCTAACATTCGTACCAATTTTTGTTTAAAGTTTGGTTGTACTCATTTTACAGAAATGATACGTATATACCCTATATCCCAAGTCTTCTTGGTCTTATAGGGCATTGTAACCTGAATCTTATTTGTAGTCTCATGTCAAGAGTAGGCTGTCCTCTGGATTTATAATGGTTTGTATCTGGTTTGTAATGACTGCACCTGGTGGTTTGTCTGCAACAGATCTGCATCATTCTTGGTAGGAAGGGGGGTGTGCCTGTCGGCCTTGCTCTCCTGGAGATGAGCCCACTGGCAAAGCCAAAGTGCTGAGCCCTTGAGGTGGGAGGGGGATCCAGGCCTGACCCTAGAAGTGGGCTTTTCTGCCCTTAAAAAAGCCTCTTTCTAAATCAAAGCATGACAGTTTAGAAATCTCAATTCAGAAACAGAATAGTAGGAACAGAGGCTTTGACTTCACTTTCACCTTGCTCCCAGAGTACATGTGACCTCTTACACCTGGCTGGTGGGGGCCCTCCGCCTCTGCACAGAGCAGATACTGAGTGGCACTACTTAGAGCTCAGTTTTGCTAATTTACACTCTTGGCCTGGGACTTCTGATAGCTGCCTCACGCCAGGGGACAAATCAGTAAATTGAAGAGACAGCTGAAGACGCCATTGTGTTAGCTCTGATGCTGGGGAGATAAACAGATGTGCTTTGTTCTCTCTCCTCTCAGGGCCACCCTTCTTGTCCTTCTGCTGGCTGACCTGGCTCCAGATCTGCAGCTCCGCATCACCTAAGCGGAGTGTCAGGGGGCTGTCGGTCAGAGCGGACAGTCTGGCAAGGAGGTGGTCACTTTCAGAGCACCAGGAATTGGCTGTGCTTGCCAAAGTTTCTGATCAGGTGTTTGTAGGCCTGAGTCAGTGGTGTGTTGTGTATCATCCGTGGTTTCGCATCTAGGTGCTTATATTCAGGATGACGGGATCTCTCTGCATGCTTCTACTAAGTCTGCCTGTAGTTTTTGCGGACTAGAATACAGAAAATAACCCCATGTTCTTGGAGATTGGGAGTGTTCACAAAAGTGGTTTTTATTTCCCTTTAGGAAGGGAAAGAGTAGATGGCGTTTGAATCCTGCAACCATGAGGAGTAAATTGTGATTCGGCTGATCTTGCATCGGCAGGCCAGGGCATGAGCAAGAATTCTTCTACTGCAGCTAATGGGTCCTTTTTATCTTTTTTGCTAAGTGGATGGTCTTCGTCATGTTTGCTTCCAGAAATGGAGCTGGCATTCCCGTACAACAGATCCTTGACTCACTCCTGTGTCTGCTTATTGTTGGGGGTATAAGTAGGCCAGTTTTTAAGCCACAAATGACTGCTATTAGGGGGGAAAGGTAAAGGCAGGTGGTAAAGAGATGAAAAAGCAACCTGCCTTTTCTGACTTCTTTCAAGGAATTTCTATGGGGATAGGGAGGAAATGCTGTACTTTTGAGAACTCTTCAAAACTACAGCGAAAGGCCCTTTAAAAGCTGATGTGAGGGAACAGGATTGATAGCCTCTAGGTGACGACTGTCTCCACTTCCCTCACTTCTTCAATGGGTAACAGCCTGCTGTGTACCTGGGCGACTCAGCGAGTGGAAAGAATTGGGCTTTAGAATCCGAAAGGTCTGCTTTTTAAATCCTAGCTCAACCACTTATGACTTCACTAACTTTGGGCTAAGATCTTAACATCTCTGAGGAGACTGTCCCTCTGTGTGGGTTCACGAATACTGAGGAGATAGGTCTTCAGATCCAGGAGCCCTTCCTGAATGGCAGGTGTTACGCTGCGGTGTGGGGTTACAAAGAGGAATAACATATGCACCGTGCCGCCAAGGAATTCATGGCTCACACGACAGCACAGTGGTTGGAAGGTGGAGGAATTGAACTCACAGGGTCTGAAACGTGATTGGAGCCTTTGATCACGAGGGGGTGACAGCCTGACTGTGGGATGGCACCAGCATGAACAGAGCAAAGAGGCATGTACAAGGGCTACTGCAAGCAAAGGAGGCTTGGACTCCAGCACTGACCAAGTTGGACAGCGACAGGGAAGGGTGGAATTAAGACACCACGGGAGAGCTTTCTATAGTGCGCTTTGCTCTTGCTGGGTGTCACGAGAAAAAAGTTCTGTGGTCAGGGAAGTCTGCATGAAGCAAAGATCACCCGGCACCTTGACGGCAGGAATTGTGAGTGGAGTGTGGCTATGGGCCATGCAGCTCCAAGAGAGGGAATGCACTGCATTTCCCCAGCTTGGGCTAGGAAAGCATGTGGCTTTATCTATTGATTGATTAAATGGCACTGGCCCTGTGTTCTGAGGGATACTCAGAAGCGAAGTGTCAATTCCAGAGGAGTGGAAGCAGGGTGAGCAGCTTCTGGGCCTCCAGAGACACTGGAGCTGTTGCTCTCCATCTGAACCACCAGAAGTCAAAGCCATCCCCACAGTCCTGCGAGTTAAGGAGGGGGAGGACAGAAGATAAAAGAATACACTGGGGAAGGAAATGAGATTTATGGGGAAGATCTGTGGAGAAGGTGAGGGAAGAATAGTCAAATAGAGAACAACTTTATTTCAGGAATGAGAAGTGGATTGACACACAGACGCACATAAATATATTTGTATTGAAAATAATTTCATATATGCCATGTTTTTTCGTTAGCTTGTAACTTCCAATTTTTATGTAATCATGAACATTTGGCTTGGGTTCTGATCAGAAGGTTTCTCCCCATTGTGTTGGTTTTATGGTGTCTCTCAGAGATGAACTAAACCTGTCTTTCCTTGCAGGTAATGTACAGAAGGATTCTGCAGCAGGCCGGGTTTATACAGTTTGCACAACTTCAGTTCCTGGAAGCTAAAGAGCTCTTCAGGTAATTTGAGGTGTTGGTAGCGAGCCTTCCCAGGCGTCCCCCTGTGGTCAAAGCCTTCATCTCGACCGTGAGGCCGTGAAGGGAAATGTTGCCATGCTTAGATTGTGCTTCAGGGAGAAGTGGGGAGGCTTGTTGACAATAGCACCCACCACCGGTGATCATTCCTCGCTCCCACCCCTTAGCCTCAGTTTACCTGCCCTGTGTCTCGAAGAGGGTAGAGGCTGAGGAGGAGGAGGCGCCCATAACGGTCCCATGAAGAGAGGAGAAGGAAATCCTAGAGGGAACTCGATAACGCAGAGGATTCCTAGGAAAATGCTATTCTTGCTCACTTTTCCTTCTCTTCAGAGATTTTTGCAGGAAATTAGAAGTTTAGGACTAGAACAGGTGCCCCTGGGAAGACTGGTGGAAACTGTGCTCCTTCCAAAGACTTCACAAGGAAACGTTCATAAGGACAACTTAGGACCTAAGTTTTCACACCATCTAACTAGACTAGATCCTGTATGTTTTGGAGCCATCTCAAGGATAAAGGGTATATAAAGCATCCGAACAGATCCTTCACATCCAAGTAGTGGCCGGAGCAGAGCACAGCTCTGTAGCACGCTGTCCGCTGCCTGTCTCTAGGCCGTAGGGCTCACCCCTGCTCCGGCCTCCTGCTCTGTCACACGGCTGGCTGAAGGAGCAGGCTTCTGAGTCAAGAAGGGGTCGCTTAGTGAACAGCAGTGCCCCGTATAACTTACACTTCTGTCAGTTCTGTGTGCTCTTCTCATCTGTTCCTGGGGCACTAATGTAGATTCTTTGTCCCTATGGACATAGCTCTTTCCTGTCCTACCTGTTCTGTCCCTGGAGTGTCAAAACCTCCTCATTTGGGTCCAGCTTCTCCTCATGGGTTAATTTGGGACAGTGGGCGGTCACAATCTATTCCTAGGAGAGTTCACGGATTCTGTGACAGAGTAAATGTAGGGCCTGTCAGTCATTAACACAAGGTTCCTCCTGTCTTTCATGCTTCAGACGCTTCATAGCGTAAATTGACGGCTATTCTGTTTTTGTCAAAAATGTGACTGAGAGAATCGGCCCTTGAAGCGGGCAGGCCGAAAGCAAGCGAGCTTCCACTTTCCCTTCCTGTGCCCACGGCAGACGTTGCTAATAAAGTGGGATTTTTTTCTTCCTCATTGATGTGGGACTTGTCCTCGTATTCCTTCTCAGTTCAATACTAGAAGCAACAAGTGCCAACGCGTCGTGGTCGGCACCCGAGAGAGGACCTCTGTGTGCCTCACGCTGTGGCCCCTCCACTCTGTGTCTGCTCCCCTGGATGTGGACGTGAGCCTGTCCTCATGTCCAGTCAGATCAGCACGCCTCCCAGGAAGCAGGCTTGGCCCAAGCATCAGAGCTGGAGTGCCACGGTGACACCGCCGCCTGCGTTCATGGTGTGCCCGCGCGAGTGTGGGCGGTGGCTGTGTGCCCGGCGGGCGGGTGCGCAGGGGCTGCTCCGCAGTGGGGGGGGGGGGGTTGGGCACGCTCTGGGGCAGGTGCTGAGCACGGGCTCCGATCAGGGTTTAGCTGCATCTTCAATGATGAGAAGCTTCCCAAATTGAGAACTATACAGGCCGGACCTTTGGGGCTGGATAATTTGTTTAGGGGCGCTCTCTCGTGCCTTGTAGGAGCCCTGGCCTCTACCCAGTCAGGGCCAGTAGCACCCTCCAGTGGTGACCGAAAGTATCCCCAGACATTGCTCAGTGTGCCCCAGGGAGCAAAACTGCTGCCCTGGAGGGCTGTTGCTTTAGGCGGAAGGAACAGGGCAGCAAAGGCTGAGGCATGCCCTGTGTAAACTGGGGGTGGGGGGTGGGGGTGTGGCTGAAGCATCAGAGTGTGGGAGGGATGGTGGAAGCCGAAGCCGTAGGGCCTCAGGAGCGGCCGCTGTGCTCAGAGGTCTGGGGTTTATCCTAGAGAGGCCCAGCACCATGGACGGTGGGGAGAGGGCAGGAGTGAAAGGAAGGAGACCCAGAGGCCGGAAGCTGGGGAGGAGGGGAGACTGTCAGAGTTTGAAAGAAGATGGATGCAGTGAACGTTGCAGGAAGTGTAGACCCCAGGCTGGACCTGGGGTTCCCATTCACGTCTGGGGGCCCTGCATCTGTTTCCATAAGAGGAGCCCACAGGTGGGGCTGCTGCGGGGCCGGCACTGCGGTCTGCAGCTCCATGATGCTGCCTCTGTCATCACGGTGGACATGACGAGCAGGCCGGAGGGCAGCACGGGGGGGACGTGGCCAACAGGGAAGCAGAGGTGGATGTCACCAGACGGGCTCCCTGGCCTGGCGAGGTTAGGACACCGTTGGAGTTGGGGTCTAACCTTATGCTCCGAGAGGCCATTGAGAGTCACTGCAGAACCAGCCTCATGAATGCTCCTGCGGCTCCCGTCGTAGGATCTTTGATGAGGAAATTATAAGTCGTGTCCTGGCAAAGCCCCTTTGTGGGCCGGTGAGCAAACTTCTTCACATAGTTCGGTGCCAGGAGAAGTGTTGGCTTCGGAAGGACGGCACTTCACCTTTGACTGGACAGTGCTATGTTCCCTCCACGTTCCTTTCCTGGCCTTGGTTTCCAGGGAGTCCGCTGCTCCGCAGGCGGGGCGACCACGTCAGGTGTCTCGATACTGCGCGTCAGCCCTGGCCGTGTGTGTCTTCCTGTGCGGGCGCACAGTTGGCCGTGCTCTGCCGGGCCCGCCGGCTGGGACGGTGGCTCTGCCGCGCTCACCCACACATCCAGCTCCCCGTGAACGGGTGCGGACGGGCCCGCCCCCCGTGTTGTTTTGTGCGCCTATGTGTACTCTTTCTCTCTTTTTGCTTCATTTAGTTTGACACTGTAATTGCAGAAGCGGCCAGCTTGACGTCCGGGAGCTGATCTCTCTCTACCCCTTCCTGTTGCCCACCTCCTCCTCATTCACACGGTCCCATCCTCCTCTCCACGAGTACGCAGACCTGAACCAGCTGACCCAGGGGGACCAAGAGAAGATGGCCAAGTGCAAGCGCTTCCTCATGAGCTACCTGAACGAAGTCCGCAGCACAGAGGTCGCCAATGGCTACAAAGAGGACATCGACACGGCCTTGCTCAAGCTGTACGCGGAGGCCGACCACGACAGTCTGCTGGACCTCCTGGTCACCGAGAACTCCTGTCTTCTGACAGACAGCGCTGCCTGGCTGGAGAAGCACAACAAGTGAGTGTTCCCTTCCCACATGCGGCCAGGGGCCCAGTGAAGGTGCTGCAGCCGCTGCGCATGAGACCCCAGGAGACCCCTCACGTGACAGCCCGGCGCCCCCTCAGGTTAGACGCCCCCTCAGCGTGGTCTGCAGACGACTGGAGGGGTCTCGGAAGGCGTGCGCTCACAACCTGTCATAGGCCCAGTTAGTAAATGAAGTGATTCTTAGCACTCCTCTCCATGCTGTTCCATGTAGGATTCACCTGTGGATGACACCACCTGTATTTTGGTAAAGTTCATAGCGTGCTATAGTCACTGATGACCAAACACTATGACCTCCATAGATAGACATCTGGATAAATAGATTAAAAGGGGGACTTCTTGGTCTCGTTGATAAAAGTGTATGGCTTTAAACTCTGCCTTCGTTATGAGCACAAGTTGGTAGACAGCTGCCCCCTTGCCTTATGCACAAGGGCAGTTAACCACAGTGACTGGGTAAGAGCCAGTAGCTCCTTCGTTCGGGGCAGGTACGTGGCGGGGGGCAGAGGGGCAGTTCTTTAAAAGTGTTGGATGATCCCTAGACTCCTTTAGGCAGTAAGATTCATCTGTGATTTTTGTTATGTAAAATGGATTAAAGGACTGACGAAGTCCCATGGGAACCATGGGGGTTACAGAGCCAGATCCTGTTCCGATTGAACAGGGGCTTGCGATGGGTCTCCACGTGGGTATTGGCTCTTCCCAGCACTTTCCCTCAGTTTCCCAGATATGCTATGGAAGGGAGTTACTTTGTTTAGGACCAGAAAATACGCTAATGCCTCATGGTAGGGACATGGAATGGTAGGGTCCAGAGAGTCAGTGTAACTTCCTGAAAGGCTAAGGAAAAGAGGAGGGCACCAGTGAATAGTTTGATACCTTGAGAGTTCGCTCTCGGAGGGAAGAAATCCAACATCCCCCTGGGTCAGCTTGCTCCAGTCATCAGCTGGGGAGGGGGAGGACAGTTAGAGGACACCCCTGTGGAACTCGGGGAGGCTGGAGCAGCTCACCGCCCAGGCGGTGTCAGTGTTATCACTCACCCTTTCCATGCACAAGTGAGGAGATGAAGGGCCTGGCAGGCATTCCACTTGCTCAAGACCGTACAGTCCCTAAGTAACGGAACCTGAATTGAAACTCAGGGCCTAGAAGCCCGGGTGCCCTCCCCGGACCCTCCCCAACCTTGTGTTCTCCGTGCTGGCTGGGCACTGTGGGCTTGTGTTGCTGTCCATGTTCAGACTCCTGACCCCGTCTTTCAGTAATAGCTCAGGTGACCCACCTTCCTAATATTCTTCTAACACTCTGTGATGGGTTAACGGTGATCATCTGAAGAGATACGAAATTATATTAATATTTGAGGAAATTGTAAAGCAATTCCAAATAGGATTTTCTCTAGCGTAATTATGATTTTATTTTTCAGCTTATCCTAGCCTTGAATATGATCCTTTTTGGAAATTGATAGGACATACATTTTGAAGATTTTATTTATTTATTTGAGAGAGAGAAAGTGAGAGAGCACGAGTAGGGGCAGAGGCACAGGGAGAAGCAGACTCCCCGCTGAGCAGGGAGCCCGACGTGGGACTCAGTCCCAGGACCCTGGGATCATGACCTGAGCCAAAGGCAGACACTTAACTGACTGAGCCACCCAGGCGTCCCTAGGACATACACTTTAATATCGGAAGTAAATAAACAGAAATGAGGATCTCTTTGTCATTGGAAATTTGTTGCTGAACTCTGAGTTGAACTGAATATGGGAGACCAGAGGGTAATCCGGGGGCTGTCACTGGGTGGGTGCTGCCCACAGCAGGTGGTTGGGGAGAGGGTGTACTTACTGCCTTGTTTTCTTTCAGGTATTTTGCACTTGGACTGCTCTATCATTATAATAACCAAGACGCTGCTGCTGTTCAGGTGAGTTCAAAAGTATTTTAGCATGACTTAAAAATCAGTGTCCTTTAACTCAGTATTACTTGGGGAAAAAAATCAAAGTTGATAGAGACTACTTTTGCCTGACCTACAACCTTTTTTACAGAATGAAAATAATACTGTTTTAGAAAGTGAATTCCTTGAGAAATGTCAGCCAAGGGTTTTCTTTTCTTTGTCTTTACATCTCTTTCAAGGACATTATCAAGATTGAGTTTTTGAAAATTTAAGAAATAGAACTAATTGATTTCTTACTGAGCCACAAGGGATACGACGTCACTGCCTTCCTGGGCAATTAAGCCTGTGGATAACAGTTTGCTTGTAGCTTCCACTGTTGATGACAGTAACTGTTGCCAGCAAGCAAGGTACATCATTCTCCCCATGTCCCCTGAGACAGAACGAAAGCTGATCGAGGCCGGTCCCTTGCCCAGGGTCCCAGCCCTGCTCAGCGGTAGAATGGGGATTCGAACCACTGTTCCAGGGGGTCCTGGCAGAGATACTGCGCCGGAGATAAAATGCCACCCATCTCTTGTCTCGCCTCTCGCATCTCATGAGGAGACATTCGCCCCTTCTGTCACTGGTTATCCACTGGTATCCGTGTTACAGTTTCCTCAGTGGCCTTTTTGTTTTGTTCTGTGAGTGGCCGAGAACATTAGCAGTAGTCACCGAGCTAAAGTCAGCTTCATGACTTCGGCAAAGCCACGCATGCAGTCACTCTACGGTAACGTGATTGCAGATGAGCTTAAAAAAAATGGGTTTCCATCAACACGCACCCCAGTGGCTTAGAGTAGATTTGGATGTCAAGGGCAACATTTTTGTACTGTAAAACGCACAACTCTATGACTTACGGCGTAATGTTAGTGCAATAGTAACATCAGCAACATCAGCAGAGCTAGAGAGAGAGGAGGGATTTGCAAAATCGAAGTGGTATGAAAGAAATCTTTATATACGGCAAAATTCTACTGTAAAAAAAAAAAAGACACCTTTCCACGTGTGATTAGCTTGTTTGGTTTGAGGAATTCAGCGTTAAAGAAACTGATACCATAAGAAAGGTTCCCATGCCGATACCAGAATCACAGAGTTGACGCTGCCAGCCCTGTTTCTTGGGCTTCTCTTGGGTGGCGTGGTCCTAAAGTGCAGTGCGGTGGGCAGGCGGGTGAGGTGTGGGGGATGCGGTATGGGCTGTGGGGCAGCCTCCGTCTCCCCTGCCCCCATGTAATGCGGCCTCGTTCTGGGTTTCTGAAAGGAAGCTTTGATTTACACAGCAGGGAAGTTTCTGGATGAAATAGCAAGGGACTGTTACTGTTAGCAGCTCTCATGAGCCCCCCGTGCACCAGACAGAACACTAGGGGACAGAATGACCAGTATTTTTGAAGGCACAGTGTCTGACTATCACAGTCCACAAGGGACTTCAAAGTCAAGGATTCCCGTGGCGGGGAAGGTGGAGACAGCCCCACGGGTGGAGGCAGGTGAGTTTCTTGTTCTGTGTCAAGATGCTGTCAGTGATCGTTTATTTCACGAAGAAACATTTTTAATACATCTGCCTCTTCCAGTATATTGTGTTTCCTACTTGTATTACTGCGCTGTCATTAGAAAGGAAAGAAAAAGAATCCACGGCTTTATCTCCTTGATTTCCTGGACCACATCCGCTACATGGCTTTATTTCTCTGAAAACCTTAAAATTGACTTCAGCATTCAAAATTTGTCCTACTACTTTCAAGTATCAAAAGGCCAAATAAGTAAACGTATCCACCTCCTTAGCTAATTCTAGAAGGTATGTAACCTTCCGTTTCTTTTTCTTCTTTCCTCCTCTCCAGCTCTGGGTGAACATTGTGAATGGGGACATTCACGACTCCACTCGCTCAGACCTGTATGAGTATGTCGTCGACTTCCTTACCTACAGCTTAGACCAGGAACTTGTGTGGAAGTATGCTGATTGGGTCCTGCAGAAAAGCGAGGAGGTTTGTGCATCATAAGTGCCCTTTTTGGGGGGTGGTGGTTGGCAGCTGGCAAAAACAGAAAGCTTGATTTCTGGTGAGAAACAAGCCACCAGGCTACAGCCTCACCCTGCCTGTAGTTTGCTCCCTTCTAATACCTCTCCTTGCTCCATGGGAGTGCCAGCTCTTAGGAAAGTTCTACATCTGTCCTTCTGAGATGTACTGTTCTGCGTATCTGTCTGGGGCAGGCCACATTTATAGCAAAGCCAGAAAGCATAGCCAGGTCACATTCTTAGTGTCTTCTGAAAAACGTGTGCGTGTCTGTGTGAATCCCCACACCTGACCAAGTGTGGCACTTCCGTTTTTGGTGGACTGTCGCCTTGCAGGGCGTGGGGCCCTGCCTGGGCCACACCAGGCCCACCCTTGTCCTGTGTCTGTGCCGCACCCCCTGGCGTGGAAGTTGTGGGTCTGGAGGAAGGAGGGAGCCCAGTGTGGGACTTGCCGCCCTAGAGGCTCAGAAGGGACAGCAGGGAGGAAGTGCTCTGAGGAAGCGCCCAGTGGCTGCTGGCTGGGGGGCGGGGGAGTGGGTGGGGAGCAGCAAGCTCAGGACTCCTCAGTGAAGCCCCGGGATGACGGGAAAAGAGATAATAATAGCATTTCAGTTCTCACCATTGAAAACATACACATTTCCTTGGCTCCCCTTGGAGAGACAGACTTAGCTTTATGATGCAGGACCTTCATGATAAATGTAGAGTTTTCTCTGTGTCGCGTCTGCCGTTCTAAGATCGCCGCTAGCGTATGTTCTCCACGGTGCTCTCTGACCCGGAAGGTCCGAGCCCATGTGCTTCATGTACTTTTTACTCCATCTTTACTTTGCCTCTGTGCACACGCTCATATGACATACAGACCCAAAGCTGTTAAAAGCCTTGGGCTCTTCCCAGTGCTGATAGATGGTATCAGCGAATCATTCCCAGACCTGTGTGCTCCTGATAATGTGCCAGGCACTCAACGTATGTTGAAATAAATATCATAACAGCATCATGAGGTAGAAATTATAGGCGAGGAAACTGAAGCCCAGCTTTGGAAACTTCCCCAAGGTCATATAGCTGGTACAGCACAGATCCCGGCTTATAGAATTCAGAATTCACACTCAGGATTGCTGTGCGGTGTGTGTGTGTGTGTGTGTGTGTGTGATAGAGTGAGCACACGTCCGTGAGCATGCCTCACTGTGCAGTGAGCATGCCTGCCCAGGGCAGCAACGACATGCATTTACTTACCTACTTGACCCATTAGCATTTCCTTGGAAGATGGAATTACCTCAGCGTTATGGTAAGCCTGTGGATTACAGGCTTACCATACAACCTGTCCATTCGACAGGCATAGGAAGGCAGTCTGGAAACTTGCCCCGGGACCGGCCTTGGATCTGCACAGATGAGCCACATAGTGGATGTCATGTCAGCGTGCTGAGAGTGGAGTTTCCTGGATGTTCAGGACTGTACATATTCTGTCACTTACTGTTCAGCAAGTGACCATCCTTGGATGATCTTCGTAGTACAAAGGGTGTAGCTTCTTGGGTAGTCAAAACCTGCTACCAATAAATGTCTCTTTCTTTCATTTCTGACCCTTCGAGAAGAAATTCCGGCTAGGTGGATGAGGAGGTTTCAGAGTTTAGGTCACCTTTCCTGTCTTTGTGTCATGCTCTGGTCTTTGTCAGTGTCCCACCCTGCAGCTCTTTTCTGTATCCCCATGTTTTTGTTTCTTGGTTTTTTGTTTTTTTAGATTATTTTAGAGGTGGGGTAGGGGCAGAGGGAGAGAATCTCAAGCAGACTCCCGCTGAGCACAGAGCTGGACACAGGGCTCGATCTCACGACTCTGAGGTCATGACCTGAGCCAAAATCAAGAGCCGGATGCCTAACCGACTGAGCCACCCAGGCGCCCCACTGTGTCCCCATGTTTTGGACAATGATTTTCCCCAAACATAAATGGGCAGTGTTCAGAATAAAGATAAGATGGTGTCTTTGAAAAAAGTAATAGCTACATTGCTGTTCTTCTTTCAGGTTGGAGTTCAAGTTTTCACCAAGAGACCTTTGGATGAACAGCAGAACAATTTCAATCCAGACAGTGTAATCACTTGCCTTAAGAAATACCCTAAAGCCCTTGTGAAGTACCTGGAACATCTAGTCATAGACAGGAGCCTGCAGGTGAGCGCTTCGGAACTTAGACTAACGTGTGAGGGCTGCCACATGACAGCCATGATTTTGGAGATAGAATTGGACTAGAAAGCTTGTTGGCAGATGGTTCTAATGTAATGTTTTAAAGGGAGATGTTTTAAATGTTCTAATGTAGTGTTTTAAATGCCCTGCCTCCTGGATGCTCAGCCTGTACTTGTGGATGGTCTAGGGCCCTGGAGGTTTCTGAAGGAAATCGCAGATTAATTATCCTTAAGGGAAATGAGAGAACTGGCACCTTTTTGGAAAATACCTAAATCCTGGGGCCCTCACTTCTCAAAGGAGAAGTGACCTTTTTATATTTTTTCTCACGGATTTGAAGTCTACCTTCTCTGTGTTGCGGTTTCTGAGATGTTTTCGATCCAGTGACCGTGTTCTGTTAACTGCCCCCGAGACCCTGCCCTGGCTTGCCTCGGTGGCAGCGCAGCCCCAGTCTCGGGAGCACCCGCGGGCTGGGGGAGCCCCAGCTTCCTGCCTGCAAACGCTGTCTGCTTGGATTCCCGTCTCCTGCAGAAGGAAGAGTACCACACGCAGCTGGCCCTCCTCTACCTGGACGAGGTGCTGCAGCAGAAGTCCGGTGCAAGCAGCAAGGCTGAGGAAGCCTCAGAGATACAGCTAAAGCTCCAGCACCTGCTCCAGAAGTCTGATTTGTACTGCGTCCACCTGCTGATAGGTGAGGAGCAGCTCACTAGTCTCTCCTTGACCTGCTTCCCCCAGCAGGGAGGGGGAGGAGCAGATGAAGGCTCTGGCGGAGCTCCTTGTCTTGAGTCCACAGGGTCAGGGGGAGATTCCTTGAGCCTCTTTTGGCACAAAATCAGCCTGCCTGGAGGGTGGGGCGAAGCTTCTTAGGCCTCCACCCTCTAGAAATGGACACAGGGCCTTTAGCTGATGACACAGCTGCCCAGGGGGTTTGGAAGTCTGTGTGTCTGTTGAGCATGCCTTCATTTAAACTGCCTTATGCAGCTTCAGTGTGCTTGAATCCCAGTTCCTTCTGATGGCACCAGTGTTTGGGCAAGGCTGTGCCAGGAGCACTGTCCCCAGCTCAGGGCTGTCTTGGAGCCCTGAGCCATAGGAAGGTGGGCAGGTATCTTGGACGGGAGCCTGGTTTTCATTTCCTTGGGGTGCAGAGTCCATGGTTTTTGTGTTGTGTAAAGCACCACCAAGCAGCACCGTGCTCCCACCTGGTAGAATTAGCTAGTTTCTTGGTGTATTTGACATCATAGAGTTTTCAGATTTGTTCCTACTGGGATTAATAATGTATTTCTCTTTAACAGCATTGACACTGTTTTTTGACCATTAACTATAGTCAGTTCTCATCATTCACCATAGTTATGTTCTATGAAGTCTCCACGAACACTGAATTACTGAATCCTGAACATTGCTCCCAGGGAAATAGAGGGTCAGGTTCCTGCAAACCGCTGATCACAACATTTTCATCAACTGATCAGTACATAACCTTGTTTTATGAGTGCTTCTTTTTAAAGACACCTATTAGGTATTATTGTTGATTGGTTAACATTGAAGTCAGAGCCAGCAGAACTCTAGCTCAGGCCTGAACGAAGCTCAGCTGACACACACAAAGTTTTCTCCGTAAGGCACATCACAGCACAGCCCGCCTGTGCTTGGAAACAGTAGGCCGCACCTCAGCACTGTGTTTGGGGCCCATTTTAAATGGCAATGTCACCAACAAAAAAAGCACAAAAACGCAAAAACTGTGGCACTAAGTAAACCACGGAGAGGACTGTTTGCAGAATGAGGGCTGCGCATGGATCATCTTACGGGGCCTCAGCTGGAAATGTGCATGGCAGGTGGCTCAAATTTTGTGCCACCCTGCCCATGTCCGCAAATAATCATAAAAGCACCGTAACTGCTGATTTGGGGGTGACACAGGAATTTGGGCAAGCAGGCAAATTCATGAATATAGAATCTGAATAATGAGCACTGGCTGCATATGCCAGGCCCAGGTCAGCATGCTTAGCGTGCATTACGACGCTTTCCACGACGACCTTGTGAAATAAGTCCTATTTTTAAAAATTATTTTTATTATTATTTTCTGGCCCATGTTTGCACCAGGGCTAACGTCCAGCTGTGATGCTCGGCAGCCCCTGGTCACTCCCAGCCGCTGTCCGTGCTTAGTGGTGGCTGTTAAAACGTTTTCACTGTCACCCCCGACTTACGCCATACTTTACGCTTTACAAATCCCTTCATACGGATCGCATGCTAATCATGGGTTTGTTGATCAGGTTCTTGCTCAGCTTATGTCGTTGAGCATATATAGAGTATCAGACACTGCAGCAAGGATATACAGGTGGATGTGACTTGGTTCTTGTCCTCAGTTTACCAAGAATGTGGATAGGGGCTGATGGGAGCTCCATGCAGGGTGGAGGGGAGGGAGCAGGGAGAAGGTGCTGTCTGAGCGGTCACAAAGGATAAGTCTGGGCTTGCAGGTCAGACTGGGGAGCTTGCAGGCAGTGGGGTGTCTGCCAAGGCACTGTGGGAGAACACTGGAAACTCAGGGACTAGCTCTTTCCCCTCATTAGGTGACTTGGGGGTGGTCAGCCGGGCACATTTTGATAACAGTTCTTGTGCAGCCTATCCCCTCGGGGTGGCTGAGAATCTCCTATGAATGGAATGAGCGATGTGAAAAGTGTAGGTCACTGCAATGACCTTCCCTTTACCATCTTTGCACCTCGCCCATGCCTTAAACCTGGTGGCCACTTAGTAATTACTTGGTGACCGCTCCTCATGAGGATGACAAGCATGCATGCCGCAGCTTCTGTGTTTAGTGCCCTGGCTGACATATGTGATGGAACCGGCCCTTCGCTGCAGGCCTGAGTGTGGTCAGGCTCCAAAGGCAGAAAGCCTGTAATCTGAGGATTAATGTTGGCCCCTGAAATAGGACTTGTCCTCTGAATATCTTTCACGGTAGGAAAAGACCTCACGTTATCTTCCTATGTTCTAGAGGGAGCGAAAAGCAAAGGGCCTCTACCAGTGAGACACAGCCCACTAAGGACAGGGCCTTGGTCAGATCTTTCTGTGGTGGTGTCATTTTCCTTATAGCCGAAAAACTTAAATTGCAGGAGAAATAAAAGAAGAGCTTTAGAGTAATGTAGATCAGGATTTTTAACAATACGAACCCACACTCCTTCACATGAAATATAGTTTAAATTGGAATAAAAGGGTTCACTGCACTTTTTTGCCAGGGAGGGTTAGTGTCTGAATTTAAATCAATAAAGTGTCTTTCTGCTGTAGTTGAAAGGTCCCGTACTGGGAAAATAGGAACAATGCTGGATTAATTGGAAGCCTGCAGCCGTGATACTCATGTTTCACCATGCCGGCTGAGATGACATGTCATTTGTTTTATTCAGTCACTAAGCATTATTAAAAATGTGTATTCTGCAGTTAGGTTCTACCTAAAAGTAGGGACTGGCTTCCCCTTTGGGAAGGCCCAGCTCTGCAGCACAGGGGTACAAGCAAGCCTTGTGTGAACCGTCGAGGTAGCTGGCTGCGCTTTGCCCTTTCTTAAGTGGAGAGCACAGGGGAGGTGGGGGGCAAGCTGGAGCTGGCTCTAACCGCCGGCTGCTGCCGCACAGATAGAATCCGGGGCGCCGGGCTCCCCATGGAGAGCGCCATCCTGCACGGGAAGCTGGAGGAGCACGAGGAGGCCCTGCGCATCCTGGTGCACGAGCTGCGGGATTTCGCGGCGGCCGAGGACTACTGCCTGTGGCGCTCGGAGGGCCGGGACCCGCTGTACCGGCAGCGGCTCTTCCACACGCTGCTGGCCATGTACCTCCAGCCTGGCCCCGCTGTGCCTGAGCTGGCCGTGGCCGCCACGGACCTCCTGAACCACCACGCGGCCGACTTCGACGCCGCCCGCGTCCTGCCGCTGCTGCCGGGCACCTGGTCGGTGCAGCTGCTGCACCCGTTCCTGGCCGGGGCCGTCAGGAACAGCGTGCACGCCCGCAGGACCACTCAGGTGGCTCTGGGCCTGGCCAGGTCCGAAAACCTGATCTACAAGTACGACAAGGTGAGAGCCGGGCCCTTCTTGAACCACCCCCCCCCCGCCCCCGGGGCCGTTTTATTTCAGGTAGTTACCTGGGGAAAATTATTCCTTGTCAGTTTTTTTTCCCTCTGCACCTTCAACACCTCAAATATCCGATTCCGCTCACCTAGAAACCGAGGTACATGGCAGCAGAGGCGCGAGCAGGGCTGGCGGGTGCTGTTCTTCTCCGCTGTTAGCGATGCTCGGGAGAGGCCAGCACACTGAGCGCGGGTAACAGTCCAGGCAGCGTCCTACGCCGGGCAGCACCGGGTCAGCTGGTCACCTCAGCTGGCTCCTGCAGTGTCTACCCTGTGTCACAGAAGGGGACACTGAGGCCTGGGGAAGTCACACAGCACCTGAAGAGCCCAGACGTGGATTCCAGGCCAGCTCAGAACCCCACACTCTCGGTCCCCGGCTACTGAGCTGGGGCTGCGAGAACCAGTGCCACAGACGGCGTGGCTGCCTTTCACCAGCGCTGGTGTTCTCATGTGGCAGAGAGGGGTCAGGCACTGGTCTCTCTTCCTCTTCTCCTTTTTTTTTTATATCAGTCCCAGGTGTACAGCACAATGATTTGGTATTTGTGTGTGTGGTGACATGATCGTCCCAGTATGTCTGGTTTACCTCTGTCACCGCACATAGTTAACAGGTCTTTTTCCTGTGATGAGAACTCTCGAGATCTACGCTCTTAGCTACTTTCAGATATAAAATACTTTAACTGTAGACACCGTGCTCTACGGCACATCCCCAGGACTTGTTCTATAATCGAAAGGTGGTACCTTCCGACCCCCTGCACCCATTTTGCCCATCCCTGTGCCCCCCGCCTCTGGCAGCCACCAGTCTGTTCTGTTTCTATGAGTTGGGCTTTTTTTTTTTTTTTTAGATTCTACATATTAGTGAGATCACACAGTATTTGTCTTTCTCTGTCTCACTTATTTCACTTTGCATAATAACCTTCTAGGTCCGTCCATGTTGTCACAGATGGCAAGATTTTCCTCCTTTTTATGGCTGAATAGCATTCCATCGTATAAATACACTGCATTTTCTTTATCCAACGAGGGACACCTAAGCTGTTTTTGTGTCTTGGCTGTTGTGAATCATGCTGCAGTGAACATGGGGGTTAGTGTTTTGAGTTAGTGTTTTCATTTCCTTCAGATAAATACCCAGAAGTGGAATTGCCTGGTCATGTGGTAATTCTGTTGTTGCTTTTTTGAGGAAGCTCCATGCGGTTCTACACAGTGGCTGCACCAGTTTACACCCCCCAGGAGTGCACCAGGGTTCCTTTTCTCCACATCCTGGCCTCCTCTCTTCCTCTCCTTGTAATGGCCCCAGTCCCATCCCGGGAGCCCCACCCTCTTGGCCCCATCCAACCTCAGTCACCTCCCAAACGCCCCAAATACGATCCCACTGAAAATCAGAGCTTCAACATAGGAATTTGGGGTGGGGGTGGGGGATATAAACATCCAGTCCATGATAGTCCGCAGTGTATATCCCCTTCTGGAGACTTCTTTCTGTGAGGCCCACACTCCATGCAGCCAGTCCAGGGATCTTTCCAGAGTGGGAACCTGACGTGGTCCTCCCACGTGGAAGCCTTCGTGACTCTCCAGGGGAGGAGTTGAGGCCTGGAAGGTCCTGTCTCTCCTCCTTTGGCCTGGCCCTCTCCCTCTCTCCCTGCTTCCTGGGACATGTGGAGCCTCCCTGATGTGACATGTTGTTTCACACATACAGCCTTTGTACCTGTGGTTCCCTCTGACGTATTAACCTTTCCTTTTGGGCCTGGTGACTGCCTACTCAAAATGCAGCCTTAGTATTGTTTCCTTTGGGAAAACCTTCATATCCCTTCAAGCAGGCGAGCCCCCTCCTTTGCCCACCCACATATTTCCGTGCACGGATCCATCATCATCTCCCATCACTCTTCAACTCTGGGTTCTTTGAGGGCAGGGAACTTCATCTGTTTATCTTGGTATCCCTAGAGCCAAGCCCAGCGTCTCGAAGGTGTTGAAGAAATGTTTGTTGAAGGACTGAGGAAAACTGAGGAGTATAGGGTGACTTCACTAAGTTGCTGGTTGATACTGCCGGTAGGCCGGCTTACCTGGGCTGACAAGTGAACTGTGCTAAAAGGCTTCTTAACTTGTAGAATTGTAGTCCTGTTTATCAGACAGGGTCTAAGGGGGGTACAGCCCGGTTTTGTTAGTAACGTTTAAACAAATGAAATTATGGTTCCCAGTACCAGGCAGGACGGTGCCACTAATCAACCATATGGCTGTGATGGAGTCCCTTATTTGTGCCTTACCTTTCTTGTTTGCGAATGAGAGGACCCGGGAATTGGATCATCGAAAGGGCCTTACTCTGCTCTGACATGACGTCACTTTCCTACAGGCCTTGCTCAAACGCAGAGCTCAGAGAACGTTTGGGAGAGGGTCTGGGTAGAAATGCCTTGGCCAAGCAAGCAGCTTTCACTTTTTGTGAAATAAGCAAGCAGTTTTGTAGCATTTGAAAACAGTTTTCTTATTATTATTATTTTTTCCTTCTCCAGTTGCTCAGGATGTTTTTGTTTATTTTTGCCTCTAATATTCTGTTTTGAGAGGTCGACGTGAAAGCACTCCTCCACGAGTAATAATAATCCATGGGGTAACGCGTGTCCGCTCCGGTATAACTCTAGGTGACAGGGTCCTCAGTGTTTCTTTCTTTCTTTCTTTCTTTCTTTTTCTTTTTTTTTTTTTTTTTTTTTTTGCAGATGAAGTTGAAAGGAAGCTCAGTTCAGCTCTCGGACAAAAAGCTCTGCCAGATGTGCCAAAATCCCTTTTGTGAGCCTGTGTTTGTTAGATATCCAAATGGTGGGCTCGTCCACACCCATTGTGCCGCCAGCAGACACACGAACCCCAGCTCCCCCGGCCCCGGCGCGCGGACTTGAAGAGGCCCAGGCGAGGGCGCGACGGGGACCCTGAGTTCTTTACCAAGCCTGCTGGGTGCAGAGGGCAGAAAGCCACTGCACTAGTGTCGGCCAAGGGGTGACATCTGGGCGCTGGGGAGACTTCAGTCAATGTGAAACTGCTCGCCACTCCACCCTGAATGTACGACGAAAATCCCGGAAACAGACACGCGTCAGGGTTCGCCCGTCCCGGGACACAGTAATCCCAAACAGATGTCTACTTTGAGAGAAAAATGAGCCTTCCCCGTGCCATCCAGACAAGCTGGACCCCCCACCCCGGCGCCCCGGTCTTCAGACACGCATTTGCACTGGAAACATTTGCTTCAGGGCGGCAGAGTCGGAACTCTCGCTGGCCAGGGTGAGGGGCTCGGCCTTGGGGGTTGGGGGGCTGCTTCCGGGGTTACCTCGTGGGCTCTGCCTTTACCCTTAGTAACGGCTGACCTTGGGGGGGGGGTTCCTTCTGTTCTTGCCTACTTCCCACCTGGCTCGCAACCCCTGACGGCTTCTGCCTTGTGTCCCCGAGCGCCCCCTCTCGGGGAAGTCGAGGACCCACTGGAAAGTGCTAAAGCCCCAGGTGAGAAGCTGCTGGCTCCACGTGCAAGACGGCAGACAGCAGGCCTGCGGCACGTGAGGGCCCCGGTGTCGCCGGTCGGGCCCGGCCCGTCCCATCCCACCACCTGCTGATTTGAAACTCCACGATGGACACGACTGACTAAAAATGATTATTTGAAGTTCTGTCATCTCTGCCGTTTTTCTCTGCTTTAAGAAATTCACCTGTCATCCGTTAGGGACATTTTTTTTTTTTCCCTGTTAAAATGTACCTCCTGCTGACCCCTCGGGAAATGAAAAGGGAGACGTTATGAGCACAAGCCACGCGGAAGTTCACGAGAAGCCGGTTTAGCCTCACCCAGACACACGTCAGGGTTCTGGCAGCGGGTGACAGCTGCCCTGGCCTGTGACGAGGTGCCATCTTGCCTGCCGGGCGCTTCTGCACACCCCGATGAGGAAGTCCAGTCAGGCTGCCTTACCTCCCAGCACTTTACACGCCTGCTCTGAGGTTTCCTGAACACACAGGAGGAGTCCCTCTTGTTCACCACAGACTGGGGATTCGCTATGTTTCTGCCAAACATCGCGGAGAAGCCGAAGCCGTCCTTACTTCACTGCCCTCTTTTGAATTTCCTCACTGGGATTAATGATTCTATTAGGAACTGTACCCCCTGCCGTCACGCTGGGAAAGCAAGCATCAGCTTGTATGTGTCGCAGGAGAGGACCCTGGAATACCGCCTCTCTCTGTCAGCCCAAGCCTTACAGGGCGGGGGCTGAAGATCTCTTGGTCCGTTCCCGAAACAGTGCTGTCCTGTACTGATAATGGCCAGTCTTCTTCTTCCTCCTGTGATTCTAAGTGGCCCAAGAAAGCAAAGGCACCCCTGCATTCCTCCCTAGCCGTGTCTCCATCTCAAGAATCAGTGATGAAGAAATGCTCCTTGTAACTCAGCCACATACTATGTCAGTGGGGACAAAGTCGAAGCCGGGTCATGAGTTGACCCTGTGGATGACCGGTGCGGAATGGTCCTATTACCGTGCACGGTACCATCACGACTCGCGAGCTTGCGTTTCCCCCGCAGAGAACAAGTCCCTAGCACGTGCAGGACCACACTGCTGAAAGCACTGTTTCCCCGGCCACATTTTGTGGTCTGGAGAGCGCCTTGTGATTGCTCATTCCTAACTTGGGGACACTAGTCTCCGCTCTCTCTGAACATTGGTCAGTTTTTTGAAACGTTTGTCATCCTTTAGAATGACGGGGATTAAAGTCGAGTCGTCTCCTGTGTTCAGAACCGTACCTTGCTCTCCTCTTTCTCTGACTCCCATGGGCCCTTTTTGCAAGTCAGATTTTTAAAATAAATACATGGTTCTTTCTAAAGGCCTGCTGTTTTGTGACTATGGCATTGACTAGAACAATTAGAACATTGCTCAGCCCTTTCCTCCCCTCATTAAGTTCTGTGTAATCATTCTAGTTACAACAGCATGAACTGAGCCCGGTTGGCATTAATATTCTATGGGCGATACTGTTGGATTTTAGGAGCTCTTTCTCTGCTGTTGCCTGTCAGGTATTAACGTGGCAGCGTCCTGGAGGGTGTGCAGCACTGGGCCTGAGTTCAGAGCTGAAGAGCTCATGCCCACGAGCTTGGTAAATGTGCTTGCTGGGGTCCGGAGCCCAGAGCGGCTCGGGTGGCCGTGGGGTCACACCACCAAACCGATGCCCGTCACACAACGAGGGTAGCCCTGCCTGCTCCCCTGTGGAAACCTTTGTCCTTGGAGCTTTGTCCTTCACCCCTGGTCAGGTTCCAGATACACGAGATGTACAAATGTAAACTTGTTGATTTTATTAAAATTCTTTTAATTCTTTGTTCTTTCTGTAATTTTTCTTATAATATATAACACTCATTTTGGCGAGGTGACGGCTCCCACCTGCACAGCACCTAGTCGTAAGAGTTCTGGAACTTACTCACCCGGACCTCATGGCTCCTCCCAGCACCTGCAGCCCATGTGCATTGGCCGCCCCTTAAATTCTTCGTTCTTCCTTTACTGAATTTTAAACGCTCCACTTCTGAATGTATCTCCTGCAAATTCTCAGGGTGCTCCTTGACATCTGTTACCTTCACATCAGCCGTACCCTAAGGACTTTAGCAGAGGAGATGTCTGGTCACTTCTTGCATACCTCACCCTGTAGCCAAATGCCCTTTAAGTAGGACTGTGGCCCTTGGATTTCTAACTCTGAACATAGTCAAGGACTAGAACTTTGTTTGTTTCACCTTTTAAATTTTACTTCATTCCTTAGAATCTTGTTCATAGGAGGTCTTTGAGAAACGCTGTTGAATGAATGTCACAGCATGTGCCCGTGTTCCTTTTTTCATTCTGGGTGCTGTGCCAGCCCTGAGGAGAGCCCCTGACAGCTCTCACCCTATTCTCCATGCCAGTCAGGCTGGTGGATTCCAAATGCATGTGGGTGATAGTAGAGGTGAGGAGTCAGGCGGCATCCGTATCTCCAGTTGCAGGAACTGAGGCACAGGTTGGTGGGGTGGTTTTCTTGGGAGGACAAGACCAAGAGCTCTTGTCCCCGCTGGCTGAGTTCCCCTCCTGCTGCTTCGCCCGCCACTAAAACCAGCAACCATCCCAGGGTGGACTGCAGTATTCACACAGCGGTGGTGCCATCTTCAGAAAGTCACGAAGCAACGAGTTTAATATCCTTTTCTTATTCTATTATATTCCTGTGGCTCGTTAGCATATTAGAGATTAAAAGGGGGATGCTCAGTTGGTTAAGCATCCGACTCGATTTTGGCCCAGGTCATGATCTCAAGATCGTGAGACCTATAGCTCCACATTGGGCTCCACCCTGGCCGGGGAGCCTGCTTGGGATTCTCTCTGTCCCTCTCCCTCCGCCACTCCCCACCCTGCTCCCATGCTCTCTCTGAATGAATGAATGGGTGCTTAGGCTTGTAAACCTGACTAGAAAGGGAAAAGTGATAGAGTCACACTGCCTACCAGAATATTACGAGGCCAAGTCACTGAGAGAGAAAATGAGTGTAAATTGATGTCCTGAATGTGACTGTTGGTAGAAGCAAAGACTGGGGCCTGACTCCATGAAATGGGCTGTGACTCGTGTTAGATTAATTAGATACCAACTAACACCCCATTTGCTCCTAGCAGATCTGTCAGCCTGAGCGTCTGAAATGAAAATGTACAAGAATCTAAACCATATGGACCAGGGCCCTTTCACCTCAAGAATGCTAAATGGCTGGAGCGCCATCTAAAAGCTTGTTAATACCTTGTTCAGTGATAAGCATTGGAATTAATGAAGCCTGCTTTCTTTAGCTGGCAGCCAGGAAAGGGAAACAAATAGCTATAATTCAGCCTGCAGTCCAGAGCTGTAAATTAGTTAAATGAGACATGTGGCAAGCAGGGGCTTGGAAGTGCCACATGCGACTCAACAGGCCAGGAGAGAGAAGGAACATGTCCCCACTAGATGCGGGGAGCCTAGGTCTCGTCAGGCTGACACACTCAGTGGGGGGCCTGGGCCAGTCCCATCCCCTAGACCTTGGGTGGTGTCCTCTGTAGGCTGTAGCTGGAGCTGCAAGGTATCTGAGGACCCTTCAGGAAATCAGCGCAGAGGAGTGGAGTGGGTGTGGTCCAGCCTTTGAGACCAAATGCTGCCCCAGAGGATCGTGGGTCTCAGGCTGTGCCCAAGCTCTCTCCCACAGTCCTTCACTGTTAGGGTCATCTTCCTCTAGCGAATGTTTTCCATTTGTCTCACTTGACCAGTTTTTCGTTAGTGTCCCCAGCTGAGCTGGGGAGGCAGAGACCCGGCCTCATCTCATTAGGTTTGTGGCTTTGTTGATACACAGCACATGGCACCACTGGTACCCATCTGACTGACTCATTCTAGCCTCTACCTCTTTTATCCACACATGGCAGTGATTTACCTGAGCACCTAGTGTGCACCATAAAATTAGCATAGTGGGGCTGCCCCCGCCCCCTCCCACCTCTGCTGTCAGCACCGTATCAACCCCCACAGCCATTCTAAAGTGTTTTTCAATACATTGCCAATGGACCGTCAACTGTTGACTTCAGCTTACGAATAAACCATAACGCTAAACTTTTGCTTTCTTTAGAATTAGCATTTCTCCAGTTGTTGTACATGTCTAAAGGCATTTGAATTTTTTGTGCTTTCACTTAATTTACAAGACTATGTTCCCTTTTTTTATATGAGGGGTAGTCAGACTCAATTTTCTGTCAAAAAAAAGTTACCATAGTACTTTATGTAAATATATTTTCTGTGTGTTAGTCTGCTTGCCATTTTCATGGGTTTTTTAATTATAAAATATACTAACGTAAAATTGGCCATTTTAACTGATTATTTTCCATTGTAAGTTCAGTGGCACTAAGTACCTTCATAGTTCCCTCACCACTATCTCCAGAACTCT